ACTCGCAGCGGTCCCATCTGTCCTCCTTCACCATGAAACTGATGGACAAGTTCCACTCTCCCAAGATCAAGAGGACTCCATCCAAGAAGGGCAAGCAGCTGCAGCCCGAGCCGGCAGCCAAGAACACCGAGAAACCTTCCAACAAGGTGTGTGTGCTGGGAAATAGACGTGTATTGTGGGAAATCCATCTCTTTCCCACCTTTTTCCGTGTGCTTGTGAGACGATTGTTTTCCTGTTTAGTGTTTTCTGCTCCCATTGTCGTTTGTGTGTGCGTGAGTTTCCCCGCTGGTTCCCACAGCTTCTGGCCGCGGTGTCTAAACTAGAGCAGGTGTAAACCTATAAAGGCATGAATGGAACGGGCCGCTTCCTGAATGAACTGCTCCGCTGGCTCCTAAGGCTCTCTGTGTAATGAGTATATTCCCCAGCAGCCCATGCTGTGAGAGAGAAGCTGCTGTAGCCCCAGGATGGCTCGGGGCCACAGCACTTGATAGATGGATCCTCTAACTGCAGGCAAACTGTGGTACCATTAGAACCACAGGAGAGAGCTCCGGCTGCTGTGAGGGTCTGGATATGAAAAAGTAGAGATGTACTGATCAATCAGCAATCCCTTTGCTTGAGCTGTAATCGGCAGATCAATCTCAGATATAACCGCTTTTGTGCCGGTCAAATGCGTGTCTGGCCGCTTTCAAAAGTGAGAAATACATTCAAATATATTTGTATTGTACTTCATTCCTGTGCATGTTGCTCAGAGTTAAGGCAGTGACTGACTCTCTTGTTCTATGGGAGTTGGAGTTGATAAAATATAACACACATACAACTACATTGTTGTAACTGTGTAGTGATACATACATAGTTTTCCAAGAATAGATTGTTTTAGATAGATAATGAATGGATGACTCCTTAATAGAAAAACCTTTTGTTTTATTTTTAAACGTAAGATAGCATTTTCCATTAAAGTGTGTATGCTGTTAATTATAGTCCCAAATAATCGAATACCTGAATTTGCAGATCAGATGTTAAAAAATCTGAAAAAAAGAGATGCATCTTTATGAATAGTTTGTTAAGGGATTAGTATTCCTCTGAATACTCATTGTGTTGGAAAGGTGGTTTAGCATAAAGTTGTTTTTTTATTACCTGCGATTCTGAGGTACTTTTCTGTGTTGTTCACGTCTTTTAGAAGGTGAGTCGGCTGGAGGAGCACGAGAAGGATGTGGTCAGTGCTCTGCGCTACTTCAAGACCATCGTGGATAAGATGGTGGTGGAGAAGAAGGTTCTGGAGATGCTGCCCGGCTCTGCCAGCAAGGTGCTGGAGGCCATCCTGCCTCTGGTGCAGGTGGAGGCCCGGATCCAGCACAGGTGGGTCCAGAGTGAAATATAAATGCTACATTCAGTCACAATCCTGTTTATCACCAAGTAGGTTTACATTTACGAGGAAAGAAGAATACGTTGTTGTTTTTAAAAGGAGCCAAAAATAGCACGATTATAAAAAAGACTATTTTAACAAATAAAAAATAAAGACAATATGTAAACAGAATATAAATATACAAGAAACTGAATACAGTTCATTAAATTGAAATATGACAAACACTATAATCAAAGTGGCGCTGAGCTGTTTATTTAAAAACCTTCATTCCTACTTGCCCTTATGATTCATAGCACAAGATAGATATTTTTAAATGTGTCTTTAGGTCCTTTTTTTATGTGTTTTGGACATACTTCAACCTTTACACATTTATTTACCAAAAGGGAGGTTTAAAAACAATCATTCCAACTAGTTATAGCTTCCCGATTGCTGTCCTATTCCCGGTTGTCATTCTTGCCTCCTGACGTACCTCCTAACGTAGCTGGTATGCAAGCAGGACATGTGAAAACAAGTGTGAGGAAGACTACAGTCTGTTGAGTAGCTGGTGAAGATTGATAATATGTTATGACGGACAACATCCTGGACTTTGATGCCTGAAGCATTTAATTTATGTTAGTCAGTTTGTATGTGGTATGTTTATCAGAAATGTTACCTCCGAGGTACAAAGACTTCACCTTGCAGATATACTAACAGATATTTACTCTGTGTGTAAAGCAAAGCCTTTCTTTGTTCGTAACCTTAGCTGCTGACATTAATGTGTGACTGTCAAGACATGTTGGGACTCTCTGTCTTTGTCTCCCCATCCGTCAGTACAGATGAAGATATGGAGGTCAGAGGACAGATTCTGTGTCTCACAGCCCTGTGTTTAGCAGCATTGATGGATTGCTGCTGCAGCCCTGAGGAGAAACTTACATTTGGGATTTGACCTCAATCTAATGCGGTCAAACCTCAATAAATCACCGTAGAAGTTCATGTTTTTGTTCAACACGCTACTGTACACCATGTTACCACTGTGCGACCAAGAGGAATGTTACGCTCACGTGTGAACAAGTTCGTTTTTCCATCGGCTTAACATGCACAGTGCACCACAGTGTTCCAGCGGCTGCAGTGATTTGAATCAATATTTGAAAACAAGTAGGTCAGCAGTGGGTGTAACTCCTATCCGCTGTCCTGGCACACAGTGGTGAGTTGATTAAAGTGCTTATTTGCCAAAAGATTAGTGTATCCCACTCATGTCTGCAAACCGTGGTCCCACTGACTGGGGCTCATAGCTGCAGACTTTGTTATCATTCCACTATTGCTATTTGCACGGCCAAGTACTAAACTTAATTTCTCATACTCGATTTATTTCCATTTAATGCAAATGTATACTCTTACTCCTCAACAGTTATCGGACAGCTTTAGTTACTTTTCAGATTGCAGTGTTACTGTCCATTAAAAAACAAACGTCTCCATGTTTGCTCAATGATTGTTTGTGATTAATTAATTATGTATGAGAATTGTCATATTTCTTAAATGAAATAAAAAATGTATCCGCTGAAAAATAAATATCATTAAACTGAAAACAGGGCTGTCTTTCTGAGACAGGTTGACTTTTTTAGACACATTTGGTCCTCACAGGACAGCGGCAAAGCTACAACCATATGATGATCTTATAGAATATGATACATTGTACTGATTACACTTGGCACACTTCTTCTTGGGTCAATCCTCTCCACCCCTCCAACTGCTCCACTCTCCTTAAAATCCCCCCCGCTCACCCCCCAATAGCTGAGTCGTCTCCCGCTCGTTGTAGAGACAGTGGAGGGATGTTGCAGCTCTGAATCAGCCTCAGCGTGTTGCTGCAGGCCTGAGCCACACCTTGGTCTGAAAGCACCTCTCACTGCAGGCAGGAACAACACCCACTTCCCCGGGTGGTTAAACATTCTTCTGTCCACACCACTGAACTTATCCCAACCCCCCAGCTAGCCTGTAGGCATACCTGAAGCTCCCCCCAAATGTCCCTTTATATATGCAGTTTAATGGCTGCTTGATGGATGGGAGTGTATCATACGTGTGATTTGTGTCACCTCCTCTCTAACATGTGCTTGTCTCGTAGACTTTTTTCCACACCTCCCTGTTGTCCTTTTTCTTTTATTTATGAGGAATTTGCTTTAGGGGAAATAGTGCATACAGAGACACAGAAAGAAGAATCTTTTTTTTTTTAAAGGAGCAAAAAATAGTACTATTGTAACAAATTAAAACAAAGACAATATTTACTCAAAATATAAATACACAAGAAACTGAGCACAGTACAATGAAATTAAATATGACAAACACTTTATTCAAAGTTGAGAGCTGTGTATTTAAAATCGTTTATTCATACTTGCCCTTATGATTCATAGCACATTAATATTTAGGGTTTTTTCTAATGTATTTTGCACATACTTCAACCATTTATTTACCAAAAATGACATTTGAAAACAGTCATTCCAACAAGATATAGCTTCCTGATTGCTGTCCTGTTCCCGGTTTAGATGTAATAACTCACCTTGTACCATTTAATTTATATACAATATACAATCTGTGGCCATGTTTCTTTTTCTGCTTTTTCTTTATGTTTTACTCTCCCCTAACCTACTCTAACCCCCTTTCCATAGTTCGGCGCTGTCTTCCTGCCATAATCGCGTCTATCAGAGTCTGGCCAATCTCATCCGTTGGGCGGACCAGGTGATGCTGGACGGCATCGACCTGGAGGACAAAGAGAACGTGGCGTCGGTCACCAGCGTCATCAAAGCCGTGCTGGATGGAGTGAAGGTAAGCCCTCTGCTGATGGAGGACATGATGTGGATCACCTGTTTAATGTATTAACATCAAATCCCTGAGTGGAAACGGCTTCATTTGAAACTTATCTTGAAATGTTGCAAAAAACGCTTTAGAACTTGGCAGAAATTGAAAAGTTGGTGTATTGATACAAGAAGCGGGGCTACGAAAGTGCAATGGAAACAGATTTAGCAAAAACATAATGACGTACATTAAGCTTGTGACTTCAACCCATACTGCTCTTCTTCTTTCTGAAGAAACTGAGAAGTAGCCCTACACAGATATGATGTAAACTTCCTCACATTCATACATGAAACCAACACAAATGCCATCATTCAATCCAGTTTTCTACATTGTTTTTTTTGCCTGGCTCTATTATAATTATGTAATTTATTCCAACAATTGGATCTCCCTTCTTCAAACAAGCATTCGTACGCATTATTTACCGCACTGATTGTGTTGAAATGTGTTTTAAAATGAAAAAACATTGAAATAAAAATCTGGCTACTGTTGTAAAAATCCTCCTGTGATGTTATTGCATCAGCAGCAACTGATGCTGGCTTTTTCTTCAAACAGGAATTGGTGAGGCTGACCATAGAGAAACAGGAGCAGCCGTCACCCACCACCCCTAACAAACCAGCCCCACCTGCTCCCCCAGCAGAGAGGTGAGTACCCAGCATGTCCTGCAGAATAAAAACACACAGATTGCGGTCGAATTGTCAAAAGATCAGCTCCTATTGTCTTTTCCTAAACACTATTCCTTGACCTCTGTGTGAACAGGGTTGAGGAATAGTGGCTAGGAGAATTCAAAAGGACTTAGGAAAAGACGACCAGGCTTCAAGAGAATCCGACTGCACTGAAACTATCAGACGTGTTTATGATGCTCCAGCGGATATTATTAATGTGCGTCTGCTGGGACACTACAGTTCTCTGTACAGAGGACTACTACAGCGCACATAGATACTTTGTACTGAGCGTTCTTATGGTGTTGTTCCATGTGGGCTTTATGAACGTAGTGAATCATATATTATTTATTACCAAGGTTGAAATACAAATTAGAACTCAACCACACACTTGCAGTATTCTCCTGACTCAGAATGCTTTCTGTGTGCAGCGGCGTGTCGTCGGAGCTGCCCTCCATAGGTCTGGAGCAGGAGGTCTCTCCTCAGACGGCTCCGGCTGCTCCCCCTGCAGAGGAGGCTTCTGAAATACCAGAGGAGGAGGTGGCCCCTCCCAAACCCCCCCTGCCTGAGGCCAAAATGGCAGAGCTCAGGTGAGGACGACACGCACTTTAATATTACAATCTGATCCATCGATTAATTTCCGTAAAACTGTGGTACAACAAATCTCACTAAAGCTTCCTCTTTAGTCAAACAGTGCTGAGGAAGTAGGACCTCGTGTAGCATTTGTGACGTCTTAAAGGTTCACATTTTTGCCAAGACTGAGTATGAATATTTTTCTCAGTTCAAGGTATAAGGTTTACGTTTTTCAACAAGCATCCTGGACAAAATGATTGTAATCCACAGCATTATCCCAACAATCTTAGAAATGTGGTTAAAACTGGAACAGAAATTATACAAAAACAAGCTGGAATCACTTTGCCTTACATTTGCTAAGAACCAACAATATTATCACGGAAAGGACACATTGTATCATTCATAACACTTACTTTTTAGTTGGAAACAGTCAAGCAATCTTAAAATAAAGACTCACAAGTCATATATTTAGATCTATTTGCATAATTAAAGGATTCCTTATTAACAGCATTTTGTGAGTCTGTTATTTCTTACGTGATCCTTCCAGTATTTTTTAAATTAGGCTTTATTTCTCACATCTGTACCATAATATCAAGCTAGCCATTTTTCAAGTCAGTCATGTGAGAATATTCACTTTAATCCTGATAATGGCATGACGTGTCCACAGAAATGCTGTGACCCTTTGCACTAAAGTAGAAGTGTCTATTCTGAAGATGTTCATCACTTTGAATAGAGGAATGTAACTTATTTTTAGAATTCTCTGAAAAGTTTCCACAAATAGCAAAAGGGGAACAATGTTTTTAGGTTGTGGGTAGAGGGAGTTCCATAAATGTCTTTCATTTTCAAAAAAAAAAAATCTGTGTATTGCCATGACTTTCAGACTCCTGAAAATCTTTCATAATTCCCACACTTGACTCTTTAAAAATAGCACACTTTTTGTGGTTTGCTCTGTCCTTTCCTTTCTTACGCTTTCTGCCATCTCTCTCAATTTGTTCCTTCTTTGGTTTCCCTTTGGATTCTGGGAACAGAGCACAGTTGAGTGCTGGCGCGGGCCAAAGGAGATCCTCTCAGAAGGAGAAGTATGTTAGCCCTCAGGACCACCTGTCTCCACCATAACATCCCACCCTAGACCCGCATTAAGCTTCTGGATTGGATGTTTTTGACTTGCATGGTTGCATCATCCCAAACGTTGTGTTATCCCAGACTTTCCCTGAAGAACTCAGCATCCAATCAGAATTGCGGGCGGTGCATGAGAGTGTGTGACTGACCCGATGTGTTTCTGCTGGTCTCCATATCATGGTGCCTTGTGTTCCCCGTATTAACTCACTGATTTTACGTTTGGAAAGCAGGACAGCTCCATGTCATATCTGAGAGAGGCTAACATGAAACACCCTCACTCTCATCTCACTGCTCCACTGGAGGGATGACAATGTGTGTGTTCATGTATTCATACATGGATCTGTGTGTGCATACATGCCTGACAGAGCGTGTTTTGCGTGCTTGCCTGATTGTCTGTATTGAGTTCGCCTCTTGGACATACGTGTTATTTTATTCTGCTGTTTCTCTTCTGTTATTAGCCCTCCCCCAGCTCTCCCCCCTAAGAAGCGGCAGTCGGCCCCCTCACCCACGCGGGTTGCAGTCGTGGCCCCGATGAGTCGCGGCTCCAGTTTACCCTGCAGCGTCCACAGACAGGTGAGGGATCAGGGTCCTTTATAGCAGCTGTCCCAAACCTTTTTTGCACCACAGACCGGTTTCATGTAGACAATATTTTCACCGACCGGCCTTCAAGGTGTGAAGGTAAATAAGACAAAGTAAAATGATACGACCGGCATAACAACAAATACAAGGTGCATGAGAAATACAACTCACCATTACACAGAATTAGTGGGAGAACTAAGCTTGTGTCTCTGCAACAAGCCGCTCCAATATAAGGGGAGACAATGACACCTGAAGTAGTTTCCTTATGTCCAGTCTCCTCCGTCATTTAGTTTTCTCTGGATATTCTGCGTTGATTTTACAATATATAACATATTTCAGACTGATAATCAATACAATATGTTTTTATACAATCTTTCTGACCAAATGTCCCACGGACCAGTGGTGGGGGAACACTGGGTAATAGGGTACCTCCAGTACCTGTATAAAATAAAGCGCTAAATGTTTTTTTTATAAAATGTTTGTGTGTGCAGCAGCAGGACTATGAGCAGGAGTTCCTGCAGAGGCGGTTCTCCGGGGGGAGCCAGTCGTACGGGGGGGACTCTCCACGCCTCTCGCCCTGCAGCAGCATGGGGAAGCTCAGCAAGTCGGACGAGCAGCTCTCCTCCATGGAGCAGGACAGTGGTCAGTGTTCTCGTAACACCAGCTGTGAGACGCTTGGTAAGGCTACGGAGACAAAGCCAGTCAGGGTTCCATGACAAATCTGAATCTAGCATCAAACACGCTGATCTGATCTGAATCAATTCAACTCAACTAGGTGCATCTATCACCGCTGTGAACCTTTATGAATGACTACACTAAATATTGGATATTAGATCTGTAATTTGCTTTGTTGGCTAAGAAACTCACAATATGTATAGCCTAATTAAGGTTCACACAATCTTAAATTCTTAAAAGCAGTTTCTAGGTTATATGTAGGCATATCTTTTTGATACCACTGACTTGGTGTTTATAACTCTCAAGAGTTGTAAATAGATGTTAAAGTTTAAGAAGTACTAATGTTCAGTGACCTGCTTCTACATAAAAAGGTGTATCATGCTTACATTTACACTTTATTTTAATAAAACTCCTAACACATTACTATTTAGTTGATACTTAGATATATTGCTATGATATGCTTGTACATTAAATGAGGAGACTGTCCTGCATTAGTCACAATCAGCTGATAATTCCTCCTGAGTCGTCACTCACAGCGGCATCACAAGTGATTTTTTAACTAAACACACACCAGCTTACAAAGAGAAAATTGACCAGACTATAAACTTAACAGAAACTCAGTGACAACGCGTCATTTTTAACGCAGTATTCCCTGCTGGTTACGTTTACTTCATATTTTCTACCCTGTTTTTTTTCTCATGAATAAAGAGACAAATTATTTCATAAACAGAGCAAATCAGGGTATTTTGCCAACAGGGAACCAGATCCAAAACTCTAAGAACCCAACCCTTGACAAACCTTTGTTAATGTGCCGTTATTATTTCCCCCCCTCACCTGTTTGGTGAGGGTTAAATCTGAATAAAGGATGATTAAATGGCGCCTCTTCTCTCCTGCACAGACAACACAGAGAGTTACGACCCGGACTACGACTTCCTGCACCAGGACCTGTCGGCGGGGGAGAACCTGCCCCCTATCCCAGTGGGGGGGTGCCTGAGCCCCCTGCCCGAGTCTCACAGCGAGTCCTCCTCCCCCGTCCCCGGACAGCACCCCTCACACCCCCGCTTCAGTGCCCCCCCGCCCCAGCAGCAGCCAGAATACTGGACCCCCCAGACGCACCACCCCAACCCCCTGCTGTCGTCCCGTCTCAGTGCTCCCCCCGCCCTCCCCCAGAAGAAGCGCCGCAGCACCCCGTCGCCCTTCCCCGACGGGGGGTCCAGGGTGCTGTATGAGCGGTACCCCTCCCAATATGATAACCTATCAGAAGAGGAGCTGCACCCCACGCCGCCGTTCCCCCTCTTCACCTCCATCTCCCCCATGCCACAGACAAACGGGGGGTTGTTTGTCTCCCAGTACATCACCGGCGAGAACGCAGATGTTCCCTCTAGCCCCCCCCCACTACCAGAGAAAAAGAGCAGACACAGTAAGTGAGAGGGGGGGGGAGTTCATACTTTTAAGAGTAAACTCAAGACCCGACCTTTTAATTTGGCTTTTAACTGAATTGCATTTTATTCTCATCTTATTCCTTTTTCTTTTATTTATACATTTTGTGTGTTATCACTCCTGATTTATCCAGTCCTGGGTTGGTATTAAGTGTTCTGTTTCATCTCAAAGCTATGTGTACTGTGGTTATTACCTGAGAAGGGGGAGATAGTATTATTTGTAATGTTTGTAAATTGTCTGTGTTTGGTTTGTGAAGCACTTTGAGTTTGCTTTGTGTATGAAAAGTGCTATATAAATAAAGTTTGATTGAGATTAGGCATGTAGGGGAGAATAAAGGAAGGGATGAGGTGGATGTAGGAAGCCACGGTGGGATGCATTGATAATAAATTAATTGAAGCGGAGCTCATGTCTAAGAAATATTCCAGTGAGAATAAAAGCAGGAAGTGAAAACCAGGAAGTGCTACAATGGGCTTGGCTGCAGGGGCACAGAGGGCAACATGTGGTCATTTCCTGTCACACCCGATACATCACTTCCTCTCAGGCTACTGTATTATGTCATTATATACAGTCAGCCCTTCCTGAAATACTTCTGTATGACTACATTAGGGCGGGCAATATGCTTCATTTAACCACTGAGTTGTTCCCCAAACTCTCTTAGCTGTTAGAAGTTTGATATACACTATAAACAAGGAAATTAAGCTATTCTTAGTTTGGAGGGAGAGAGAAACTTGAATTCAGAAGTTTATAGTCATAAACACACTTTTTACAAATCCATAGATGGTTTATTCTCTTTTCAGAGGCAGACCATAACATTTGTAAAGGATGACAAAAAAAACGACCAAAAAAATTATAAATATTATTTGAATGAGATGTTTTGTCCAAAGTGGTCATGTAAAATAGATAGGTGTTTATTGAAGTGACATTATGGGAAATGTAGGATTTTGTGTTTTCGTAGCTTGACCCATATAGGGACAAAAGGTTGAGATATCTTAGCCTTTGTCACTTCGATTTTTACGTATTTTCTGTAACTTGTAAGTCAAGTAATTAGAAGGTGCATACTGTATTTAACTTGAATACCAAAATGGAATATATACATATATTTAGAAAGCAAAATGTTCTGATGAAAGAAGTCAATTCATTACTTTGTTGATTGAAATAAATGTTGACCAATCTTTGCCCCCCCAGTCCTCCAGTACATGCAGTTTGTGGAGGACTACTCGGAGCCGCAGCCCTCCATGTTCTACCAGATGCCGCAGAGCGAGAGCATCTACGAGCAGCGCAACAAGCGCTTCCAGGAGGTGTACTGCTTCAACGACTCCTTCAGCAGCACCGACTCGGTGCACGAGCCCGTGCTGCCCCCCGCTCTGCCGCCCAAACAGAGGCAGCTGGTAAGAAACGATCCATGGTGCAAGAGTGGTGATAGTAATCCTTCTGAGGCACCAAAACCAGATACTTCCATTTTGTGCCATTTCTTAAAAACTGTATTCAATTACGTTACAATTATCATCCAAAAGGACTTGCAATAAGAGCGTGAGGATATTCATTCAGAACAGCAAGAATCCTTCAAGTTCATTAGCTTTTAAATGATCAAAACAGTTTTTAAGAGCTGCTGCTTAAGATTCAGAATCAGGTTTATTACCAAGTAGGTTTACACATAGGAGGTTTTTGCTTTTGAGTAAATGGTGCATACAATAGCATCAAAGCATCAGATAAGCTAACAGAGTTACCTTGAATGAGAATTTTGCAAGTGAGTTGAAATAAATGAATAGATACAAATAGTTTACTTTCATTGTTGCTGCAAATTAAGTTTTCTTCAATATTTCAGTTAATCTTTATCAAAATGATAGACCAAATCTTGATTAATTTAAATGATTTTATAGAATAATGTGTCAGAGTGTTGTGGGACAGTGTTCCTGCACCAGGTGAACACCCTCTGTATTCTGACTCAGAGAGAGGGGCAGAATGCAGATTGCTTTCTGAGGCTGAAGTACATTCCCGTGGTAATCTGCATCAATTTTCTCTCGAGCCTCCTGCTATCTTGTTATCTCTCTCACCTTTTCAGCCTCCCCTCTGGCACTCTCTCTGACTTCCCCCTGTTCTGTAACCAAAGCAGACGTGTGTATGTACTCGGAGGTGTGTGGTTGTTAGCGGGAGATAACGGCGGCCTTTATCAGCTTCATCAGATCCAGTCCACATATCTTAATGTGGGTCGGTGTCTGGGTTAATTGAGAGAACTGTCTCAGAGGGGGAGGGGGGGGGGACACCATGTTCATATGAGTTGAGTGACAATTAAACATTTAAGGTTCAAAATAAATATTCTTTTTACAGCTAAGTGATAGGTTCTGCCATGAGTTCACCATTTTTACCAAGCATAGATACATTTAGCTTATTGTTATTTATTATTAGGTATTTGTGTCATCATTTTTTCTCAGTGCTCTTCTAGTATACAGCTGGTAAAAGTGTACCAATCACAGATTAACACTGAGGTTTGCTGAGTTTTTGAGGATTAAAATATTGATAGATTACGCTAAAAGATGTTGTGTAACTTCCTTATGTAGTCACCCATACTCAATGTAATGGATACATCTAAATCGTTTTTTAAAATACAAAGAATCTTCTGTTGTATTTGAAGGTGCATAACATAAAGAAAGCCAAGAAAATAAAAGCAGAAATCATGAAACAAATTGGGAATAGAATATGATAACAATATAAATTAACAAAAAGACTATAAAAATGATATTTATAAAAACATCTTAATTAACATAAAAGAGCTTTGCAGTTTTCAGAAGTGGTCGTTTTTTGCAAGTAATGGGCAAAGGTTTGCAGTATAAATAGTAAATACTTAATAATAAAAACGTACTAAATGAAATGTAATAAAACCTTTATTAAAATACAGGTGTATTTAAACCTTGCATATTGCTCATATGTGACTTGCTTTTCTATGGGTCATGCTAATGTTGCACTCCCCTTCTTAACTGTACAAAATGTACCAGGGCAAGCTGTGTGAGCCTCCTGCAAGTTCCTTCAATAACAAGATTTCTAGTAGACGCCTTTAATAGCTACGTTGGCAACAATCCATAAAACCACTATGGCCACATATGTTAGGTTGAAATATACCAGAAGTTACCTTTACTGAGCCCCGCCGTAGAGCCACGTACATTAGCTTCTAAAAAGTCAAAGCATTTCAAGAGCTGGTGCAACAGCATCAAATAAGCTATAGTAAACTAATAGTTACCTTAATAAAGTGATGTTTGCAAGTGGGTTGAATTTAATAACTGTATTTACTTAATTTTGACTGCGATAGCAAAGCTGTAATTCAAATGTCCTTAAATGTAGACCACATCTTAGATTCATTTCTTATAAACTGTATTAAATTACGAGAGAGTGTGAGGATATTAATTCAGAACCGCAAGAATCCTGCAAGGACATTAGCTTTACATAAGCAAAACCATTTTTAAGAGTTGCGGCATAAGAATCAGAATCAGGTTTATTACCAAGTATACACATACCAGGAGTTTGCTTTGGTGTAAATGGTGCATACAGGGACAGAACACAACAACACTAAGCATTGCATGTTGGGTAGATGACCTGTAGTGTGTCACATGAGACATCACACAGAAACGCCCTTCCCTATTCTCTCACTAATGCCTGCCGTACACATGTGAGGGTGACAAATGGATGTGTGGTGTCCTGAAGCTGCAGTGGTGCTGTGGACAGTGAACAGATGAGCTCTTCTCCAGGGTGGAGCTGCATGTCCAGTAGAAAAGAGACTCAGCAGGCCACCTCAGAGTCTTTCTCTGTGCTTTGTCCTCTCTCTGCCACCACAACTGTGTGTTTGCTCCTCTGTGCCCCGCTTTTATTTTGATCATTCTTTTGTGCGAGCGTACTGCCGCAGCAGGGCCTAATCTGGCCTCATGTTTTGGACTTGATGAGCTCGTGGCCCAGTGGAATAAGCCGGTTTGCCTCCTCCATAAACCCATGTTCCAGGCTTACACGCTTTGGCGACTTTACACGGCTTTGCTTTTTAAAAAGTCATTTCAGCTGCTGTGTGGATAAGGAGCTGGGTGGAGAGGGATCATATTGGCCATGCTCGGAGCCTGTTGGCCTGGTTTCTGGAAAGCCTTTAAAGCTCGGGATATTTAAAGAATTGGACATAATTGTGTGAAATCTGTGCATGTTATATGTCCTTCTAGTAATTAAGGCCCTTTAGAAAGAACTTGAACATAGTAGGCCTGCACCATTTGGAAAGAAATCACTTCTTGCAATTATTTTTTCCAATATTAGAATTGCGATATGATTTGTGTTATTGGAGAGAATGGGCATTTTTTATTCTTTAGATTCCGTTTGTAGGTCGGGACAATTTTGGATATTGCGATTTCAATGACATTTCGATTCATTTCTGATGAATTGTGCAGCCCTAGTAGCACTTCATCAGCAGTGTGTGAGTCCTCTTCAGCTTTCACCACTTTACTGCTGAACTTTGATTAAACCTGCTCTCATTCACTCTTGCTTCCGAGAGTAATCAACTGTCCTCTCTCTCTTTCTTTAACACCCTCTCTCTCCTCCTAACCCCCTATTTCTCTGACTTACTATCTTTTCTACCTTTTCTTCTTTCTTCCTCTTTGTTTCACTTCTCAGGCCTCCCACTCTTCCTCCCCCTCTTCCTCCTCCTCCTCTTCTCTCTCCTGCCACCTCCAGCCGTCTGTGGCGGCGATGGAGGAGGCGGGCTCTGGGCTGGGCCTCAGCATGTCCGTTTCTAACTCCTACCTGATCGGCCAAGCTTCTTTGAACACACCCACGGTGAGTGTCCCCCCCCCCCCCCTCCACCCCTCTCTTAAACCCCCCCATCCCTCCACCTTCATTTCTCCACTCGGTGTGGGTGCTGTGTGGTTCTGGTGGTCCGGGTGAGGTTGACTTGTGTGTTCTCCATATGTGATGCAGTCTGTTAATCTCCCCTTTGCCCCTTTGGGTTTCTGCTCGGGGGGGGCAGGGTCCCTCAGGGCTCGGTTGCTGTGTGGTCCTTCGTTTCGCTCATCCACCCATCCATGTGTGCATTTGTTGCTTGTGTGTGTGTGTGTGTGTGTGTGTGTGTGTGTGTGTGTGTGTGTGTGTGTGTGTGTGTGTGTGTGTGTGTGTGTGTGTGTGTGTGTGTGTGTGTGTGTGTGTGTGTGTGTGTGTGTGTGTGTGTGTGTGTGTGTGTGTGTGTGTGTGTGTGTGTGTGTGTGTGTGTGTGTGTGTGTGTGTGTGTGTGTGTGTGTGTGTGTGTGTGTGGTGTGTGTGTGTGTGTGTGTGTGTGTGTGTGTGTGTGTGTGTGTGTGTGTGTGTGTGTGTGTGTGTGTGTTTGTGTGTGTGTGTGTGTGTGTTGGAGCTGCAACCATAGTCCATTATTCGATTGGTCAAAGGACAGAAAATAATCGGCAATGATTTTGTTAGTAAAGGTAAAGGCGATTTGGAGATTTTCAGTTTCTCTGTTTTATGTCATGTTAAACCAAAGATATTTGTTATTTTGGATTTACAAAATAACAAAAACATCTTCTAAAGACATCACCTTGGATTTGTAGCTATTATGATGTACATTTTCACTATTTTCTGAAATGTTACAGACCAAACAATGAATCAGAAGGCTTTATTAATCCCAAGGAAAAATTGGGTTTCGTGACATTTTAGAATGAAAAAAATAAGTATGTGCAATAAAAAGATCCAATAGAATTAAGATGTTTATATAAACATAATAAGTTAAATGTAGAATAGAAGTTAAAATACATTTAATAGATATTAAAAATATTCATCAGTTGCAGCCCTAACTTTTTGAACTCGGGCATTAGATGTGATTTTCTTTGTGTGACAGGTACATTATTGGACCATTTGCCAGTCAGACAGGAGCTGTGTGTCTGGAGCAAACAGTCCAGATATCACAGGTGACCGTCAGGCCTTTGGTCGAGGATTATAACCACAGAACGGCCATTTGTTGTTCTCACAGGAACGTTTCAACCAACAACAGGTCCTTGTTAATGAGTTCATAAACACTGGTTAATAAATGTTATATTAAGCGCCCAACCAATCAGTGAGCCTCATCTCTAATGTCAACATTTCAATTCTAAATCAACGATCAAATTGAATTGTTTCAATTGAGTTTTTGGTATTTTTTGGTATTTTTGCGCAGTAGTAGATGAAAAGTAGGCCACATTAATAGCATTAGTACTGTGCTATTTTTATAAATAGATTCCAGTGGTTACAGGATTGTTTCAGACCTCTGTGATCCAAATATTTCCAATAATTGAGAAACTAGAGACATTTGCAACGTGATTTTATCTAGCAAAATATGCATTTCACTGCAGTCAAAAGAACATGTTGATCTCCCGCTTGTATCCACTGACAACTTAAAGATAGTTTATTTTAAAAAGGGACTTTAAATTAAATACGATGTGTCACATTATCAAAATCTAGGGTTTCCTTTGGGGATTTCTATTTCTTTAGGTTGGCGTTGTAAAATATGACAGCATACATTCCAGGCTTCATTATGTCCACCTTAGCCTCTAAAAACAGACATTTGGTCCAGCTTTAGCTATAGATAAGATAAGATAGTACTTTATTGATCCCAAATTGGGAAATTGTATATATATTGTTTAAATATATATATATATATATATATATATATATATATATATATATATATATATATATATATATATCCTAGTTACTTATGGCCTGACCCGGACCCACCAATGTGTTACAGTGGTTAGTTTTCAGGGGGGTGACCCCGCTGTGTGCGATGCACCCAAAGGTTCGGTGTGTGTTTCCCTCAGGATCTGTGCAGAGGAATGCAGCTCCAGATGGACCTGATGGAAAACACATTCCTCTCCTTTCTGCTCCTCTTCCTCCCTGTCCTCCTCCTCTTTTTACTCCTGATCAACACACTGTTTCTCCTATCTGTCTCGTCTACTCCATGCTGTCATTTCCCCCTAGCAAAAAAAACACACACACACACACACACACACCTCCTGGTTGTCTGTTTCTGTGGAATGCCTGCATTCCTCAACTCCTCCAGGCATGATGTTTTTGAAGGGGAAGGTTGGGGATGCCAGAAAAGCTGCTTTGCATATGTTGAGTGGAAAGGGAAAGACATTTCAGTCAATTATGTGATATTGTGATGTGTGTGTGTCCCTGTGTGTGTGTTGCTAGTACAGACTCTATTTACCACAAATAAAGAGGAGAGTGAGAGGCCTGGATTTCCCGCTCATCCTGCGTGTCTGTACATGAACGTGTGTGTGTGTGATCGTGATCTGTGTATGGTGACTGTGCTGGTATGCTGAAACAGGGCTAATATGAGCAACGTGTTGAAACAGGTTACTGATGCCTCCCTGCAGACAGGCATCTGCTCAGCTGGCCTTACAAAACACACACACACACACACACACACACACACACACACACACACACACACACACACACACATATTGTTAAGACATATATGGCCTTTTGTGCAGCTTTTTAAATTTAGACTTAGTATTACTTTATATGGACAATCCTATTACTTCTGGTAAATAATGTCTTTGTTTTAATCATTCATCGTTTTTGGGTAGCTACGTTTTTACCACAAATCATGACATTTTAGTCCAGTTTTACAGTAGAATGTAGTATTAGAAAATCTTTCTTTTTGCTATTTCTTTTAGTCAAGATGTTTCCCTCTTATGTATGTCAGCAACTGCAATTTATTTTTTATTTAGACCTCAAATGATATTGACATTTTCAGTCAATCTAGTCCAAAATCACAATTTTGTATCTTTTATCAACCTTATTTTACATTAGATGTTATGCTAACATTATCTGATGAGAAACACAGGTTAAATGTTTAAGAATACAGCTTGGCTATTCTGAGTCCTCCTTATTGTTCTCATCATTGTTTCTCACTGCTGGTCCGTTATAAAAAAACAATCTGCAGAAATATGTCAACTCTAGCCGCAAACTTGATGCATTATATAGTAGCACAATTGTGTGGACTGAGAAAAGGACAGAGACCGACCGAGGGGAAGAGAAGCTGAAAGTAAAGAAAGACTTAGTATTATTTTATTAATTCTTCTTTTGTCAACAATAATGTATGTTAACATCTTCACAGTTGGTTTTTGGGTGGTGCATTTCATGTTCAGACACCTATCTCTCAGGGGTGTTTGAGAATGAGGTGAAGACTTATTTCCCCTCCACTGCTTCAGCCTCTTTTCCTACCTGCTCTCTCTTCACCTCTCTGGTCTTTTACTCTTTTTTGTTGTTGTCCTGCTTCACTTCTTTCCACCAATCACAGAGCTTGGACCAGGTTGCCTTGACCAATGCCACCATTCTGGATGGCGGCGGGGGGGGCGGGCCCAACGGTTCCCTGGCCGGCTCAATGGGCTCTGTGGCTGTCTGTCTTCCTTCTGAGTCTTCTCTTACTGACTCGCTCCACACCTCAGCGGTGAGCTAACTAGAGGATATGAACCGACTCTCAGACCAATGATAAACCCTGATCCTGGATCCCTTCCCTCAGCAGATTGCTGTTAGCAGTTTGGTGCTCAGATGATAAATTAGTGAGATATTCAAAAGCCACAAACTATCTGCAATCCGATTATTGGTCTTTTCATAGAGCATGATGCACTGCATGTTCTTTAATGCCAGTAAATACGATCACCTTTACAATGGATGTGCGCTATAGTGCCCCCTGGTGTTGGTGATGATAGCGAGCCCAACGATCACTGTTACAACACCAAAACCTCAGCTAGCCGCTTCGTCTTCTTATTTAAATACAGAGTGGTGCAGACTGTAGTCCGACCCGGGAGTTGGCATCCCATGGGCTCCCTTGTCAAAATGCCAAAGTCAGGCTAACAACCAAAAACACGTTTGAACAAAACGTTCACTTTGAGACGAGGGAACCGTAAGTGGTCAAATGCTAACTAATTCCCCAGGGACTCATTCCTGCACCGCTCTATTCACTTTTCTGTAAGCAAACACTGTGTGCCCCCCTCTCTCCCCTTACGGGTTTGTGTCCCTCCTCTTTTCCCGTAGAGCGAGTGCGCAAACGACGAGGGCGGGGAGGGCGAGTACGTCAACTTGTACTCATCCAACCAGCCCAATGGGGAGCTGCCTCGCTCCCTCAGAGTAAGTAGCTGCCCGCCACGGGGTCGAAGGTCAATTCCATTCAACTGGTGCCATTGCTTCAGGAGTGTGAATCAATTTTGAAATGCGGCGAGGGATTTGAAGTGAGCAGAGCCTGTTTGAGTGGCAGACTTCTGTTGCAGCTCTCATTGATTCATCTCTCCGAGTGATGGCACTGAAATGGAATTTGAATGCAGACAAACCTGACCGAGCATGACTTCAGAAAGGATGTGTGTGTGTGTGTGTGTGTGTGTGTGTGTGTGTGTGTGTGTGTGGTGTGTGTGTGTGTGTGTGTGTGTGTGTGTGTGTGTGTGTGTGTGTGTGTGTGTGTGTGTGTGTGTGTGTGTGTGTGTGTGTGTGTGTGTGGTGTGTGTGTGTGTGTGTGTGTGTGTGTGTGTGTGTGTGTGTGGTGTGTGTGTGTGTGTGTGTGTGTGTGTGTGTGTGTGTGTGTGTGTGTGTGTGTGTGTGTGTCTTCTGATGCCTGGCTGGTGATTGGCTGTCTCTCTCTCTGGCTGCACTTCCAATGTAACAAGTATTTAACCTTGTTCCGATCTAACACCTGACATGTCGCCGCTCCAAATCGGATTCTCTAGGGTTCACCGGTTTTCAATTTTCCAATAACATTCCCCCATAACTGCTTAAGTGCACTTGTTTTACAGCGTGTGTGTGGTTGTATTCCCATGGCCGGGGTGAACTGTCAGGGGGTGTTTTAGGTGTGTTGGGAATGTAAGTGAGGGCAGAAGAGACCATGTATGGGTGTGTGATTGTATTTGTAGTTTTATTTGGTACAGATTCAGTGTGTATGAGTTCTACCCTCTTGGTGTCTTTCTGTTTTGGGTCTCATCTTTTGGGTCTCATGCTCGTACTGAGAAAAAGCTGCATTGTGCTCATCAACATAAAACAACCAAGTAGTAGTGTTGACATTTGTCCATTCATCTTCCTTCCACCAAAAGTGGTGCATGCACTGGTGGTTCATAATCCATATCCAGCCCTCTCACTGCATGGGACCATTCATTAATGCTGTTCAGTGAAACCTAGAATACACATGTTGATTATTGCTGTTCCTCCATGATCAGGAATCAATCACAGCTGACGATGTGCTCCAGGATCCCTCCCCTCAGATCCCCTCCACCAATAGCAAAGAGGCTCTGGACAAGGAGAGGTAAGAGATGTAATGTTTACACCTTAGAAATGATGTACACTAAATGCTACTCCCTCTGTACAGTAGGTGCTATATTAATATAGTGTACTGTTTTGAAGTTGGCGTAAAATAAATCAATATACTAGAAATAATGCAATCCATGTTCTGTCAGATGTCAATCAAACTGCAGCAAAGTCCAACTTAAATACAAATGTTTTAGTTGAACATTTTGTGAATGTATACCAATGAATATTTATATATGTTTTTTATAATTAGTTTTTCCAAAGGATTTGTTTCATTTGTTTCAAACATTTATGAAAAAATAAATGCATTGTTTGACTTTCACCTAACAAGCAAGCATACAAAATATATGTTTGTATAGCTTTTGTTCCTGATGCTGAATCACAGATGTAGCCAGACATACTTTTTTTTCCTTTCCAGTCTCCAGCTTCTTTACTCCCTGTCGACTAGCTTTGCATTGTGGGAGAATAGTGAAACAGACAGACCATATTGAGTATACTACATTTTGTCACTTTAACTTAAAACTTGGTTACAACTAGTTTGTAGAGCTACAACTATAAACAACAAAAATAGTTCAAACTTTTATTTACTGATGATAGACTATTAAATCAGACACAGTCCAAATCCCAACGATATTTAATTTACGATCATATACAACGGACAAACACATACATATCTCATATTAAAGAAGCAGATTAAACACAATGACTTGTCAAATGAATCAACGTTTCAGCTCCCGTATGCAGTATGGCTCGGGACACCTCTATATTCGTTGATATCTCAAAAAGCAGTGAGTTTTTCTGTACTGATAACTATTGTGTGTGTGTGTGTGTTTAAGGAGGCAGAAGTCACCAGAATCGGCTGGCAGCGATGAGGAGGACGTGGACGAGCTGTCCCTCATCGACCACAAAGAGATCATGAGCAGGATAACACTAAAACAAGTGGTAAGAATCCCCTCCTGCTGAGCTGTTTATAGAATGTGCAGCAGCAGCACACAAAGCACATTTTATCCCCTTAGTCCGGCTGGCTAAAGGTCACTGAGTCAGTCAGATGTGAAATCAGATCCTGAGCCGCTCCACTGAGAGCCATGCTGCCCTCTGGAGGTCAGCGTCTGGAACTGCACAGCTGAAATGAACAGACCTCCCTCCTCTCCCCTTCCTCCTCCTCCTTTGTACCGTGTGCTGCAGTCTGACAGACAGATGTGTGAACATGCTCCTCTCTGCAAGGTTAGGGGCAATGTGACAGCACTGATTTACAAAAAAGCAGATTGGAAGGGATCAGAAATGAGGAGGAGGAGGAAGATTCATAGCCTTGGAGACAGATTGCAGGGCTCGGGCTTTCATTACACACAAGTCTAACTTGTTCTTCGTCATCAGAGGAGCTGCTGCAGGACAGGAGGAGGTGGGGGGGGGGAGCAAGACATAAAAACAGGCAGAAGAAGGAAAGATGCAAGCTACGTTTTGGGCTAGACTGCATCACCCTTCCTCACATCTAACCAATGGTCTTCTCTCCTGTTATTCCTTTTCTCTAATTCTTCGTGCTTGCTCTGTTTCATTTCCCCCAGAATGACGACGGGCCTGACGTCCGTGCTGGATCGGGAGATATTCTATTAGTGCACGCCACAGAAACAGACCGCAAAGGTACAGTACAGAACACATGTGTACAGCTCAGTGTGTGACTGTGCACAGCTTTGACAGGCACGCATTGTATAATCAAAGACAGAATTATGTGCATTCATAGAGACTTAGTGTGTAGTGTGAATGATGTCTTATTACTTTTCTAATCTCCTCGTATGCGTAGCATTTGAAATAGCCTTCAGTTGTTTGCAATGTGTCAGTTCTTCACATGTGATGATGTGTTTTCAGAGCTCTTCATCTGAAATGTCTCTTTTTTTCCCTTTCTTTTTTTTCTTGACAGATCTTGTTTTGTACTGTGAAGCCTTTCTGACTACGTATAGGACTTTTATAACCCCAGAGGACCTCATTAAGAAGCTACACTACAGATATCCTTTCCACATCAGTCCGCATGTCGCTCCAGGCTTAATGGCTGTTTAGTTAACGCTGGTTTTACTGCCTTTGTCTTGAAATCCTTATTTACCAAGAAAAGATGTGTTTTCTGATTCAGCTCTTTAGTTACACGTGTTCATAGATGGAGACCTCCAGAGCAACCATGACCCTTTAGGAATGAAAAGGTAGAGGGATAGTATTCAAATATATGAAATACAAATAATTAGTTTAAGATAAACTATAATACAAATCTAATAATACAAAAATGCAAATAAAAAATGGAATGGCAATAAATGGAACATCTAAAATCCAAGTTAGGATAGGATCAAATAAATCGATATAGATTCACAGTAAAGGACATTGAAGGACATTGAAGGTCACAACATTAAAGATAACCTTTCTTACTCGGAGCTAATGCTTGGTATTTTAGAAGAGAAAAATATCACATATCATTGTGTTCTCAAAACCTTTGAAAACCTTTAAGGAAAATATGTTATTGTACCTTGTATTCCGTATAAGCTGTTGTGTATTTCGCCTTGACCACTGAGCACATACACCAGGTTCTGCCACAGCCCCGACACCTTCAAGAAGAGAGTCAGCAAAAACACCTTCTTCGTGCTGGTGAGGGTGGTGGACGAGCTGTGGTGAGTGGACTGAGACAGTACTTCCAGAGTGTGTTGCATTCAACATATTTCTACTGTCATATGTACAGTATAACAATGACATTCTTACGCTCAGCTCTCCACAATGAAATATTAAGAAACTACACATACAAACACACATAAGATAAAAACCAGCATAAGACATTTAAAAATATAAGCTGACATACATTTAAAAATTCCTTTCTCAGAATAAAAGTGCATGATGTGACTTAACATAGGATATAAATAACAGATTAGAGTATGGTATATAAATATGCATAGGAATAAGAATAGATGGGTCTAACAGTATGAATATGATGGGTATGGTACAGCCAGTGTTGGTGCTGATGGTCAGGACTCGGATAGTGTGAGGGGGGGTCTCATGGCCTGTGGGTAAAAGCTGTTGCAGAGTCTGGTGGTCCGGGTCTTCAGAGTCCTCTCCTCCTCAGGGAGCTGTGCTTACAAGAATATGGAGAGGAAACGTAGGCTGTTAGAGGAAATAACAAATACATGTATGTGTAACAATAGAGACATGGAAAATATAAAAAGTACTGCGTATGACTATATTACGCTTTTACGTGTAAGCAAGGCTTTAAATAAATGTAATGTTTGACTACTAGAGTTGCAACTATTATATATATATATATATATATATATATATATATATATATATATTATATAACAACTATTTGCCAAATATTTTGATGGGGAATGTATTATTTATGCAGACCTTGCAGGAAATACGGTTTTCAGTAGTTTCTTAGTTTTATAACGTATCTAAGTTGATATCTTTGGGTTTTGTTCTGACAAAACAATTTACATTTTATGGACCAAGAAACCAGCTTTCAAATTCTATGAATTCATTCATTCATCTGCTGTTTATGTTCTCGAATAAATCAGTTAATATCATAGTTTCAGTCCTAGCGACACCACGATCCCCCCCCCTCCTCCTCTTTTGACCATGCCCCCCTCTCTCCTCCTGCAGCCTGGTGGAGCTGACGGAGGACATCCTGAAGCAGCTGATGGACCTGGTGTTCACGCTTGTCTGTAACGGAGAGCTCAGCCTCGCGCGGGTCCTCCGGAAGAACATCCTGGATAAAGTGGAGCAGAGGAAGCTGCTGCGCTACACCAACTCCCTCAAACCGCTCGCTGCCCGGGGGGTCTCTGCAAGGTACGGGGGGGTCAAAGGTCAAAGGTTCAAAGGCTTCATTGTCAGATGCACAGCAGCTACAGTGTAGTTATGGCAATGAAAATCTGAAGTCCCAGGTTCCTCCAACAGTGCAACATAATATATATAGGACATAGAACTAAAAAACTCATTTAAATCTAAATAGTGCAAGAAGAAACCGAGCAGAATAGAATAGTGCAGATTATTTTTAAGACCAACGTGCAAGTTATGCAGATGCAGTGAAAAATAAAGAAATACAATAAGCTAAATGATGCAGAGAATGTTGTAAGTGACCAAGTAAATGCAGGAGTCATACATGTACACATAATACGATATACAAGAACAGAATGTGAAATAAAATATTGTACAGTGAAATAAAAGACTTAGTATTTTAGTAATAACTATTAAGATAAATAAATGGTAAGATGCAGACAGAGGAAGGCTTTGGGTTATGGAGGCACTGAACAGAGCTCAGGCCTTCAGCAGTCTTATGGCAGCAGACAGAACACTTGGTTGCTGGGGTGATGGGGTCTTTGATCATCCTGTTAAACGTAATGTGTAGAGAGTACATGTATTTGTAAAACTTGAAGGAAACGTTATTAACTCGTAATCTTTTGTCCTAACAGGCCAGGGACGCTCCATGACTTCCGCAGTCATGAAATCGCTGACCAGCTCACTCTCCTTGATGCTGAGCTCTTCTATAAGATCGAGGTACTTGAGGTGTTTACTTTGAATTAATACTCCCGTTTACTTTGAATCAATGCTCCCTGTGTTTGTTGACATTGATTGTGTTTTGAGCTCCATCTTTAACTTCTCTTCTCCAGATTCCCGAGGTGCTGCTCTGGGCGAAGGAGCAGAACGAGGAGAAGAGTCCCAACCTGACGCAGTTCACAGAGCACTTTAACAACATGAGCTATTGGTGAGTTTGTCCTTCAATGGAAACGTGTCAGAATCCACCACTGGCACCACCTCTGGTCCTTTGGGTCTATACCAATGAATTGAAAATCCAGGATTCAGATTGAAATACGCTGATGATATGTCTGTCAGCGTGCTACATGCAGGGTAGAGTCTTTTAGTATTGTACCATCAAACCAAAACTGTGGACTGCTTTTGAGTAAATGATATGAAGTACTAGTAGTGTGTAAAACGTATGTACAACTGTACATTTGTACAAAGCACAGTTTAATGCTTGAATAGGAAGTCAATCGTACAGGCCCTCCTGCTTTGTCTTATGATTCTGAATATGCACATATTACTTTGTGATAGTCCTGTATCATTCTGATTTGCATATGATTACATTCCAAGCCTTTCCTATGCTATTGTACTTTCTTGATATTATCTTATTTGTAAGACACATTGATTGTGGTAAAACCAAAACTGCTGGATTCCCTCTCAGAGCACCTGTTGACCCCCTCTGTTTTCCTCCTCCTGCAGGGTCCGCTCTCTGATCATTCAGCAGGAGAAAGCCCAGGACAGAGAGAAGCTGCTTCTCAAGTTCATTAAGATCATGAAGGTGAGTCATTTTGGACTTTAATATCTCTACTTGTCATGTTATTTCCTGTGATGTTTGATGCTATAATATTTCCACAAATCTCTTTTTACAGCACTTACGGAAGTTGAATAATTTCAACTCTTACCTGGCAATCCTGTCCGCCCTGGACTCGGCCCCCATCCGGAGGCTGGAGTGGCAAAAGCAGACCTCCGAGGTGAGAGCACCGTGACGCTTTAATGAGGGGGGGTCCCATTCACTACATCCCCTTCACTTTATCCATTATTCATTTGAACTTGTTAGCAATTCAAATGTGTTATTCATTAGTTTGAGCTAACTTTTTCAACAATTCCTGCTGCTAATTAATGTCAATTATATCTTTTTACTTTTAGTTAATTATTTCAACAGTTTTTCGATTTATATTAGCTTAGCATTTCAACTGTTAATCTGCTACATTTAGCTAACTACTGTTTTTGTGCTAATTCAGAGCTTACTATTTGAACCAATTATTCGTTGCCCTTTTCTAACTTTTTCAATCCATAGATATCAGTGTTGTAGATCTCAGAATGTGTGCATATACAGGTGCATCTCATACATTAGAATATCGTGGGAAAAGTACATTTATTTCATGAATTCAATTCAAAAAGTGAAACTCATATATTATATGGATTCATTACACACAAAGTGAAATATTTCAAGCCTTTATTTGTTTTAATCTTGGTGATTACGGCTTACAGCTAATGAAAACCCAAAAATCAGTATCTCATAAAATTAGAATATTACATAAGACCAATAAAAAAAAAAAACGATTTTTAATACAGAAATGTCGGCCTTCTGAAAAGTATGTTCATGTGTGTGCACTCAGTACTTGGGCCTCCTTTTGCATGAATGACTGCATGAATGCGGCGTGGCATGGAGGCGATCAGCCTGTGGCTCTGCTGAGGTGTGATGGAAGCCCAGGGTGCTTTGATAGCGGCCTTCAGCTCGTCTGCATTGTTGGCTCTCGTGTCTCTCATCTTCCTCTTGACAATACCCCATAGATTCTCTATAGGGTTCAGGTCAAAGTTTGCTGGCCAATCAAGCACAGTAATTCCATGGTCACTAAACCAGGTCTTAGTACTGTTGGCAGTGTGGGCAGGTGCCAAGTCCAGCTGGAAAATGAAATCAGCATCTCCATAAAGCTTGTCAGAAGAAGGAAGCATGAAGTGCTCTGAAACGTCTTGGTAGACGGCTGCGTTGACTTGAGAAAACCCAGAGGACCAACAGCAGCAGATGACATGGCTCCCCAAATCATCACTCACTGGAAACTTCACACTGGACTTCAAGCAACTTGGATTGTGTGCCTCTCCACTCCAGACTCTGGGACCTTGATTTCCAAATGAAATGTAAAATGTACTTTCATCTGAAAAGAGGACTTTGGACCACTGAGCAATAGACCATCTATTTTTCTCCTTAGCCCAGGTACGACGCTTCTGACGTTGTCTCTGGTTCAGGAGTGGCTTGACACGAGGAAGGCTCAGTTGTAGCCCATGTCCTGGATACGTCTGTGCGTGGTGGCTCCTGATGCACTGACTCCAGCCTCAGTCCACTCTGGATAGGTCTGTGCGTGGTGGCTCCTGATGCACTGACTCCAGCCTCAGTCCACTCTGGATAGGTCTGTGCGTGGTGGCTCCTGATGCACTGACTCCAGCCTCAGTCCACTCTGGATACGTCTGTGCGTGGTGGCTCCTGATGCACTGACTCCAGCCTCAGTCCACTCTGGATAGGTCTGTGCGTGGTGGCCCTTGATGCACTGACTCCAGCCTCAGTCCACTCTGGATAGGTCTGTGCGTGGTGGCCCTTGATGCACTGACTCCAGCCTCAGTCCACTCTGGATACGTCTGTGCGTGGTGGCCCTTGATGCACTGACTCCAGCCTCAGTCCACTCTGGATACGTCTGTGCGTGGTGGCCCTTGATGCACTGACTCCAGCCTCAGTCCACTCTGGATACGTCTGTGCGTGGTGGCTCTTGATGCACTGACTCCAGCCTCAGTCCACTCTGGATACGTCTGTGCGTGGTGGCTCTTGATGCACTGACTCCAGCCTCAGTCCACTCTGGATACGTCTGTGCGTGGTGGCTCTTGATGCACTGACTCCAGCCTCAGTCCACTCCTTGTGAAGATCCCCCAAATGTTTAAATGGCCTTTGCTTGGCAATCCTCTCAGGTCTGCGGTCATCCCTGTTGCTTGTGCACCTTTTCCTACCACACCTTTTCCTTCCACTCAACTTTCTATGAATATGCTTGGATACAGCACTCTGTGAACAGCCAGCTTCTTTAGCAATGACCTTTTGAGGCTTACCCTCCTTGTGGAGGGAGTCAATGACTGTCTTCTGGACAACTGTCAAGTCAGCAGTCTTCCCCATGATTGTGAAGCCTACTGAACCAGATTGAGAGACCATTTAAAGGCTCAGGAAACCTTCACAGGTGTTTTGAGTTCATTAGCTGATTAGTGTGACACCGTGAGTCTACAACATTGAACTTTTTCACAATATACTAATTTTCTAAGATACTGATTTTGGGGTTTTCATTAGCTGTAAGCCGTAATCACCAAGATTAAAACAAATAAAGCCTTGAAATATTTCACTTTGTGTGTAATGAATCCATATAATATGAGTTTCACTTTTTGAATTGAATTAATGAAATAAATTAACTTTTCCACGATATTCTAATTGATTGAGATGCACCTGTATATTCACAAGTTACAGCAAATGATCCTAATAATCTTGGTCCCTCTCCTCTCAGGGATTGGAGGAGTACTGCACATTGATTGACAGCTCGTCGTCCTTCAGAGCGTACCGAGCTGCTCTCTCTGAGGTGGAGCCCCCCTGCATCCCCTACCTGTGAGTGAACCAACCATAAACTCAGACAAATGTTTTTAGCCGAGAACCACACGTTTACCCCCCTCTTCGCTCTCCCAGGGGTCTCATCCTGCAGGACCTGACCTTCGTCCACCTGGGGAACCCCGACTTCATCGAGGGGAAGGTGAACTTCTCCAAACGCTGGCAGCAGTTTAACATCCTGGACAGCATGCGGCGCTTCCAGCAAGTGTAAGTCCATGGGGATACATTCACAGCACCATGACAACATGCACATCATCTTGTGATGGATCATTTGAAAGCTTTCCAAACATCAATCACAGTAATAACTGCCATCATTTGTTTGCCACTGGCAGGAAACACAATTTGTTTTGCATTACATTTTAATCTAAAGCATCGCTGCCATCTCCACACGAGCTGCTTGTTTTCTCATTAATCAAACCTCCTCTCATCTCAGGCATTATGATCTGAAGCGCAACGAGGACATTGTGTGCTTCTTCAACGACTTCAGCGACCACCTGGCGGAGGAGGCGCTGTGGGAGCTGTCGCAGAAGATCAAACCCAGGAACATCACCAGGCGCAAGACGGAGCGTGAGGAGAAGACCTAGGGCCCCCGGGGGCCGGCCAAACTGACCTCCAACTGTGCTTCATAACACTAACTCCACTTTACTACAGACTGAGAGACAGAGACGAATGGAAGCTAATGGGAGACTCATTGCAGGGGGATGCAGAACAAACTACAGAAGCGTGGCGGAGGTTTACAGAGAGCTGCTGCTCGGGGAGATTATAAATTGGGATTACTGTGACTCTGACGGGGAGAGATTCAGAGAGGAAGCCGAGGAGGGGTCACACAGAGCGGACAGGGAGACGGAAATAACCAAAGTCTGCTCCCTGGGCTCTCTGTCTTCGTGAGAATGAGCTGTCCATTTCTCTCCCGAGATTCTCCTTCCTCTTCCTTTTATGTATGTGCCATTTGTCGGTCATCTTCTGCATTGACTTATGAGTTTCCCCTCAAAACAGCGGACCCTCGAGAGCAGAGAACTGGGACAGTCCGCTGGGGGGGGGGATCTAAACTCAGAGAGGATGACCATCACAGACTGGAACCTGAGTTTTTGGAAACATTTTGTGTAAGAATCATGTATGGTTATGATATGTATTATATACAGTGCTCCTTTTGTTCTTAAAAAGGATGTTTATGCTTATGAGAAGAGCTTAGCTTCTCCCAAAGTGCCATACGTATGTGCACTCAAAAAAGCAAAGCAAAAACCACAAAAAAGTCAAACTTACTAAAGATGCTGTGATCTATGTAATGTCATACTGAAATCATGGTGTGCCGTGCTCACGTGTAGAGAACCATCCGGCAGTCACAATCATGTCCCGGTCACGTTGGTGTGTGAAAGTGTTCGTGTGCGACTGAAGTCCTCGTGACTTGTTTGTTTGTCATTCAAAAATGTGCTGTAGTAAATCATTTGGATTCCTTTTTTGGGATAATGGTGGAAAACCCAACACATCACACTGTGCTCTCAAACTCCAATAAAACAAACAGCTTTGTTTCTATACACAGCGTGCGGGTCAGAAACATCACTTCCTGGTTTCAAACTCAAAAAGGACTTACACTTTTCCATTTATTGTTGTACAGAGTGGTCAGTGCAAAATGAACTTAAAAAAAGTAAGGCTTGTATTCAACTGTAAGTAATGAAAGGAAGCACTCAGTTTAACGCTACTATGATTTGATTTAAATAAGTTAAAACAAATAGGGAAACAGCAGGATAACGGGTTAGTGTGAATATCATTTAAATATACACGGAATTTAAGCAACAAAAAAGCAGATATAAATATAAACGTCAAAGTGCAAAAGCATAACAGAAATTAAACATTTAAAAACTCTTCTTACTAGAGCTGCAACTTTTAGAGGACTAATCCAATGACAGAAAAATAATCAGCAACTTTTTTGATATTTGTTACAATAATATGCCCTACTTTTGTCTATCAAAGTGTATATATACAATATAATATCTTTGGGTTTTACACTGACAAAAGAAGACATTTAAAGATATAACCTTGGATTTTCGAATGGACATTTTTCAATATTTTCTGACATTTTATAGATTAAATATATAAAATAATCTGGAGATAAATCAATATTTAAAATATGTTTTAGTTGCAGCTCCTCCCTCTCAGTAACTGATCCTCAGACCACAGCCAACACTGAAAAACATTATCATGGAAGACCGTTACATGTGAAAAGCATCATCTAGAAGCATGTTGGTTATGCAGCAATAATTACAGTGAAATGATGGAGTGGTCGCAGCACTGTATGCTTGCACCGTGGGATTGTGGGTATATCTTTTTACTTTTTAAAACCTCTGCAGAGAGGGAGGGTGGCGTGACCCTTCGTGCACAAATCAGTAGCAGCAATCCTGTCTCGAGCTCATGTCCACAGTCTGGAAACATCCGTCCTCCAGAGCCCCAGTGAAGGCTCAGTGCGGCCGGCAGCTGGGCTCCAGCAGGACCCTCTTCCCTGCAGAGTTGGGGGCTCCGTTCTGCAGGTCCCCCGGCTCAGAGATGGCTCTTTTGAAGCCCCGCGTGTGCCCGCTGGCGGAGGCTCGCTGCCATTTGCAGAGCTCACCGCTCAGGATGTCTTGGATGTGCTGCACGATGAGGTTGATGGCCACTGATGGGAGAGGGAAGGATTTGTCAAGCATTCATTCCAGAGAAACTAGCAGAAAAGTATTTTAATTAGGGAAAAAAAACACTTACCCATATTGTCAACGCCCCTTGGAATGATGACATCTGCATACTTCTTTGTCTGAGAGAAAAACAAATGTGTTAATGTTTGTTGAGAAAACACCAAATGTGCAGTGACGAGCATCATAAAATGGAGGAGGGTTATTGTAGGTTAAAAAAAGTCATTGAAGAGCCAGGGAAGGGGGATAACATTACTGAAAAAAAAGATTAGATATTCTGAGATTAAAGCGATAAATGTGTCAGAAACAAATCAGAAATTGACAACATAAAATGTGTGTGATATATTTTTGCCAACTTTTTTAATTAAGTAATGTGGTTTCTTGGACTCTCCCTCACCCAGCCCTGTATTATTGTTATGCACCTAAAATGGCCCTTATTTGTTGTTGTTATGCAGTAAACATACTTACAGGCAAACAAAACTCTTCAAAGGCAGGCTTGACAAATGTTGTGTACTGCGTGAGAATCTGTTCCAGATCCCTCCCTCTGGTCATGTCTCGCAAAACTGTAGGAAAATCAGGTAATCTTTTCATCATGGATATACTATGGTGGCCCACATCTGGAATAATGTATGAGGAAGACTTTAATACCTCTGCGAGACAGTCTGACATCTGAATCTGTGTCCACAAAAAGCTTCATGTGAAACATATCACGCACTTTCTGTGGGTAGAAGACGAGAATCCCCTCAAAGAGGACCACGTCTGCCGGGTAAACTGTAATCCTTTCTTCCAATCTAAAATAGCACATCCAATGTTGATGGGAATTAAAAAAAAAAAATTATTACTTATTTCCTATAAGGGCTGAATCAATGTGAATTGCTTCCTTCTTACCTGGAATGAGTTACGAAGTCATACGTTGGCACCTGAACCACTTTTCCCTCTGCGATGTCTGTCAAGGTTTGGTACATTAAGTCTGTATCAAATGCCTCTGCAAGACAAACGGAAACAGCAGAAATGTAAGACTCTGCATGCAGCCTTTAAACAATAAACACCATTTATTTTACAGGGATCCACAGAAATCTGGCATATAAAGCCTGACAACAATTCCAGATATATGAGTGATATCGAGGCGGTGATTTAATATATGCCGCCATTGGGATTTCTCCCTTGGCAAATGAGTAAGTATTTGATTTATTTAATCATAAGGAGTGTCACTTTAGCTGTGATTATTTCCTCAGCTAGCATTTTCTGTGATTTCTACATTGTGATATTTCATATAGGCTGTAGAAATTGTGATTAAATGTCAGTTACAGTTAAAATAGAGCACGCTTTAACCATACCTGGATGATCAAAGTTGTACTGGCCCTTCAGCGCCTTCCCCTTCTGCTCGGCCGTCAGCACTCTGTAGAAGCTGTCCTGGCTGATGATGGCCACCTTCCTCTGGCGGTGGTCCACCTTGTTCTGGCCCAGCAGCTCCATGATCTTGGCGCACACTGTTGACTGTGGCAGAACAAGAAATCAGACTTCAGTACAGACTCAGGGTCCGGATAACAGACATGGAAAAGCATATTAAGATAGCATGTTTTTACAATTGTTTACAATTAGTTGAAGAACAATCACAATTGTATGGCAGAAATGGGCAGAAAATGCGGTTTCCAGCCTTTCAAATATGGAGATTACTTATTTTCTCTTTTTTGTTGTTGCAGCCCTATTTAGGAATATAAGATTTTCTACATCATGTTTCTTTATTACCAATCATGCAACCACTATTGCAGGTTTTAACTGTTGCATAATCGACATAAAGATTAACAAGAACTGGGGACAAAGTGTCTCCTTGTCTGACACCATCCCTCCCCAAATGGGGAGAAGACCCTATTGCCCAATTTTACTTGCATGATCAGAATAGGCTATACTAAACTGACATTAAGTGTATTTTTATTAATGTCAATCGTAATGCCGCATTAAATAGATTTAACTAGCAAGGACCAATTCACAATGCATGTTTTTGTCAGTTTCCCGGGAAATCGAACAGTGTCTCCAGTGACCTTAATGGTCATCAGCTGATTTGGCACTGCGAGGGAATTGACAAATTATTAACAGTGGCTAGTTAGCTATTTGAAGCTAAAAGGTCAAAAACACGAATCGGTAGAGTTATTCAATATTAGCAGGGAAGACATGTTATTATAGTTGCAGTGTGTTGATATAGTGAAACGAAACTGAGCGACGGGGGCGTGCCAGTTGCTCTGACAGTTTGACAAATTCTAATGTTGCTAAGCTAAGCTAATAGGAATGCTAATATCCGTAGTCCTCTGGCTGCAAACAGATACTGACCTTGCCGCTAGCTGTTCCTCCACTAACCCCTATTAAGAAGGGACAATTCCGGGGTCTCTCTGCTTCCTCTAGGGCTCCGAAAACATCCATCGCAGTCCAGAAGTTCAGGAGACTACAGATATCTAGATAGCCGGGCTGAATGTTTGCTATGCTATCTGTAGTAATAACAACGCACTGTTCTCGCGATATCATAGGGATGTCTCAATAATAAAGCGCAGTTTACGCGAGAACTCAGCATTAAGGTTCAACACTGGACAGTTTGGAGTGTAACTGCATTTAGTCTTTACATCAAATAAGATCAAACTACTTACACACATGTTTAGATTAAATATAACATTGTAATAAAGATGAAGTGAGTATTTATAACCTTTAAAGATTATTGGAATTTTACACATGAAGTCTTAGTTTAATGTCCGAAACAGTTTATTATGAATAGTTTTAAATGAATAAACGTTGCATTTGACTGTTTCATTTGCAATCAGTTAGCTGCGTTTATAATACTCTATATAATAATAAAAAATACAGGAGCATACATGTGACTCTGATCGGTTGCAATCCTCGTAGAATCATAGAATCCATGACAAAAAATTAGGGCTGTCAAGTTAACGCGTTAATAACGCGTTAACGCAAAAAAAAATTAACGCCACTAATTATTTTAACGCGATTAACGCATGTGTATTTTTTGTCCTCGGCCGCCGTAGTTTCAGAGCGCATCGAGTGTAAAATACCATCGACAAGCTGATGCTGACAGCCTCGCTCCTGCCGCCCGCTTGTGGCAGACCACACTTCCACGCTCACCGGCAGGCCCGGACTGGCCATCGGGAGGACCGGGAGGGAGTGTGTATGTGTGGCGCGACTCGCGCGAGCGAGGCACACCTTACGTGTTGTTGTTGTTAGCATCTGGTGCTAGCTAGCTGCGCTAACGGATTTAAGGAGCTGTTTCAATGACATTTCGCCGACAACTGCGCCGAGCACTTGACTTTATGCAGGTAGCCAGACAGTGGGACATTGTACGAAAAGTCAGCACACTCAGCACGGATCGTACGCGCAACATGATTGCTGCGTCCAGGCAGCTCCCATTCGAGCATATATGCCTTGAGCTGCACATAGCTCCAACGATTCATCACAGTGTACACACACACACACACACACACACACACACACACACACACACACACACACACACACACACACACACACACACACACACACACACACACACACACACACACACACACACACACACACAGTATTATTGTATGAAAGAGGTTCCAGGTTGAATTGAGGCGAATATTTGTAATGTTCAGAGGTTGTTGTGTTTAATATTCATGAGAATATTTGTCATTGTTCAAATGATAATAAACAAACATATAAAGCATATTTGTCCACTCATATGTTGATAAGAGTATTAAAAACTTGAAAGATATCCCTCTAAGGTACATTTAGAACAGATAAAAAATGTGCGATTAATTTGCGATTAATCGCGATTAACTATGGACAATCATGCGATTAATCGCGATTAAATATTTTAATCGACTGACAGCCCTACAAAAAATACATTAGTAATACAAAAAAACATTAGTTTTTATTATAGAATAAAATATAACACATCTCACAATACACATGTATAGAATAAAGGTATCATTATTGTTGTTTTTCTGGGTCTGATTTTTCTGTGTCGTCTTCACATTGTGACCTTTCTTTCCCAGATTCATCCACCACGATTTCAAAAGCAGAACTCCCATCCACCCTCCTCACAGTCTCTCCTTTGGCAGCAAGGATTTCCTCAATGTTCCTTAAAGGTAAACAACAACAAAAACCCAAAGCACATGAGCGATTCCAATATTTATCCAATATGTCAATTTCTGTGTTGCATTTTTAACTGCTTATGCTCCTGAATTTAGTTTTTCAATACAACTGGAAAACTCTGTCTTCACTTAATAATTATTCTAAAACAGATATATATATATATATATATGTAGAAATTCTAGCTATATTTATAAATGTAGCTAGGTATATTAAACCAGAAATTCTAATATGTTTGGGTAATTTACAGACAGTTGCCATTACATAATTTGTCCACCAGAGTGCAGTAACACATTTCTTATTCAAGTGTCACGGTTTAAATCACAAGTCTTCTTTAGCCAAATGTAAGTGATGCTTGTCAAAGCTTTGTTTTGATCAGTTAATATTATCTATAAATTATGTTATATCATTCTATCAGATTTGTTTTACCCTCATATAATAATCTCTTTTTTAAATAGTGTTGAACTGAATATGGGTTTATATTCAGCCGTCAGAGACATGGACAGTGTCACTAATATTTCTTATGAGACATCCAGCAGCACCGACCTCTTGCCTTCCAGGTCGGAGAACCAGCGCAGGTTGTCAGCGATGATGTGATGGTTCTCACACCCCGGACACGTCACGATCACAACTCCTTTGTGATAGGCCAGCTTCGATATCCTCTTTGTGGACCTGGTAGAGCAAACCTGCAAAAGTTATTAATTTTTGTTAGAATATATGCATATCATCTGTCACTGTGAATATAAATATACTTGTACATACCATACAAAACCAAACACTAATTCTGCAGGTGTAAATGTAAGGTACTGTACTTTAGTATTTCTATTTTACACTACATATACTTCTAACCCACTACAGAAGGTTAGTGCACTTATTACTCCACAATATGTGGAACATCATTTATATATTCCTATTTTTAATTCAAAATATAAACAAACAAATAAATGATGATGCATTATTTTAAATAAACAACCCACGGAACATTAACAAATGATTTATAAATATGTATTATTATTTAACAATAAACATGTAAGAATATATACAGTGCCATATACATTAGTGTAATGATATTAATAAGGATAATAGTGCTGAAACACATTGTCAAAATTCGGAGTACTTGTTGATACTTTAAGTATGTCTTTTTATTGAGTATTTCTACACTGTGGTATTACTCATTTTGATGAAGTAAAGAAAACAACAGTCTGCATGTCGGGTATTTGACTCCATCACACGTCATAACTTAGAAAATAAGACCAAAGACAACCAAACATGTTTGAATAACTTTGACATGTAATCAAATAAACACCCAGCTGACAGGAGATGAGAAGTATAGAGAAGTGTTGGTCAAAATATGCACTTTGTACTTTATTTAATAATACTATTAAAGGTGGGGTAGGTAAGTTTGAGAAACCGGCTCGAGATACACTTTTTGTTATATTCCATGGAATGCTCTTAACATCCCGATAGCAATGAATATCTTAAGTGCTTTGACAACAAATCCATAAAAAAATGTCATCTGTGGAAGCCGTAATACTGTAAAAAGTACGACCAATCATTTTAGCCGGCCCGGCTAAAATAACTGGATGGCCTACCTGCCTGTCAGCCTTCCATCTGTGCACAAACTTATCTCGTGCCCTCATTGGTCATGTGCGCGTTCGTGTGTGTTGGAGGAGGGGCTCTGTAAGGAAGTGGCAGATTTTTTCCGGCTGTGTATTTTCAAATTCTAGCGATCTCGAGCCGGTTTCTCCAAAATTACCTACCCCACCTTTAACTGTATTAACATTATATAATAATTATATCAATGTTTACTAAAATAATACAGGGTAATACAGTTATATTAAAAAAAAAAAAACTATGCATAATGAGTACTACTTGTTGTGACTCAAAAGATGTCTTGATACTGATATTCTTGTTATTTGACTGAAATGACATTGTATGCTGGACTCTGTGGGCCTATTACTAAAAACAATTAAAAAGAAAGAAAAATAGACCTTTTACTTTTACCTTTAATCAAATAAAGCAGAAGCCCTACTCTGGTTCATGTAGGATATGATAAGATGAGATGAGATCATCTCCATCTTATGTCTGTATACAGATATATGAGCATGGTTAAATACATTTAAATGTGCAGGTGAGTGCGGGTCCTACCTTGCATGTGTAAACTAGCTGGTAATGTTTTGATTCGATCTTTCCAATTGCGTCACTTCTGACCCTCAGTGAAGAGGAGAATTCTCTGGATCTGATGTCTGCCGGTAACACCGGCTGACAGGAGAGGAGATGCCCGGACTTCAGGGCTCTTTTTCGGCTGCAGCTGAGAACCACACCGGGCCCAGACGGTGCTAAAAGACTCCGAGAAAAACCTCGAATGAACCGGCAGACAGGCAGCATTGTCCTGGAAGAAGCCGGTGAACGTAACATATCTAAACATGTTAGTAAAAGCGACATTTCAGGTAGTGTTTACAAATGCGTTGCATGCGATTTCAACGTATGGTTTGTCGCGGCCCGATGACATCACGCATTTTGGTATTTTCAAATTAATGGTATTTTATTTTTTTATCTAACAAAGTTTGATCCATGTTTGTTTGATAACATTGTATTACGTTTTGGAAAGAGTTTTAGAAATATATAAAGTGGGAAACAAGACATGCAATTAGAATCAGTCATTTTAAATGCGATAATAATGTAATTACTTGTGTGGACTTTGTCATGTATTATAACGATATGTTTCAACCAATGGTTTGCACATTTATTCTCTGATTCATTCAACCCCATCTTATAAGTTGTTTAGAATTCAAATGTAATGTTATTTCGAGTCTCTTAAATGTGTTATAAGAAATACCTTTTCTCAGAGTCACCAATGATCACGTTTATTGGCATTAAAATATATATATATTTTAAGAAGATTCAATTACAGACCTTTATGGGAATATACATTAATAACAAAATATCTCTCACAATTGTCCCAACTGCCTACAGACAGTGTAGCTCCACACTTTTTTCACAGAGGGCCACATACAGAAAAATATACGAAGGGCTGGGCCGCTCACTAGAGGTATACAGCCTCATACTGTAAGTTCAGTTATAAGTTAGCAAAATCAATCAAATATAGGTAAATTATGCTTGTGAGTGTTGGCAGCTCATCCCTTAAAACAGAAGCCTCAGTTTGATTATAATAAGGAGAAATAGGAAGGGTGTATTTCAAGCTTGTTATGTAAATAAGTCATTGGGCTTTTTTCTTATCAACTAAGATATGTTAGAAAAATGTTTCCAACTTGAATTGACTGAATTTTATTTAAAAAGTGGTCTCATTAACACATGAATGTGTAATATATTTTTACATTTATATTTAAGAAGTACAATATAAGACAAGCACAAGTTTCATTTTTGGGCCATATTCCATTATACTTTTTGAATTTGCTGAGGGCCGATTCAAAATGGTCCGCGGGCTGCATTTGGTCCCCGGGCCGTAGTTTGGACACCCCTGGTGTAGCTGCAGCGGTGCACAGTTGATAATCAGCAGAAACACCAGCTGTAAATGGCTGCTGCAGACTGAAGGGTGTGTTTTTTAATCTTGCTCAGTAAGGGGGCCTGAGCTTGTTTAGGGGGAACTGCAGTCCGTCTGAAAGTGTGAGGCCTCCCAGTGCTGACACACTGACACTGTGGTGAGTCCACGTGGAGTTTCTGTCCCACAGATAAAACCATATACTGTACATAGTCAGACTATTGTTTAACAGGGACAGTCCTATCTGAACGTTTGATTGAAGTCTTTTCGAAAGTTGTTTACATGAAGTTTGCCACAACAGTTTTGGTCTCGAGCATAATCACTTTTTGAAGGGACTTTTTGGTCTTTAAAGTTTGGCTATTTTCACTTTGTTTAATGACTTGTGTGTGCATATATTTGTCTAAGTGTATATTTATATATACTATGTCTTATTACAATCAAATGTTCTAAGACTAATCATTTGCCAGCAACACATGAATTCTTCAGACATATTGAGAAGGGGGAGTGTGTGCTATGTATTTGAGTACTATGTACATTGTGCATAGGTGGAAAGTAACTACTGAAATATTGTACTTAAGTACACATTTAAGGCACCTGTACTTTACCTGAGTATTTTCATTTTAAGCTACTTTATACTTCTACTCTACTACATTTAGGTAGTGAATGCTGTACTTTTTACATATGTTTTACAGATGTATTCACTAGTTACTTTATCAATTCAGATTTTGACACACATTACTTGCATACTACTACTGAAAAACGTTTAAAATATGATTATTTGGAATAGATTATATTTTCCAACATTATATTTAAGTAACTAAAACCATTGGAATTAAGATTTGTAATCCATCTTTTGCTTTAAAATATTTAAAATACATAAATATTTGTTATTTATGCTGTGAGTACTTTTACTCCCAATACTTTGAGTACATTTCCCTACTTTCTCCACCACTGACATTATATGTGCACTCTGTTTCTATATGCTTATCGTTTTAATCCATGATACTGTGGTGCTTTTATTTCGAAGGGGTCTCAGTGTTAGCACTTCCTCCCCTCAGTCTCAAGCAGCGGCAGTTGCTCTCCGGTAGAGCAGACGGACCCCTCGGTGTTTTCTCCTCCGTCACTGCCGTACGGGGCTCCGGCCCGGTGTCCGACCAGCCCCTCGCTGCTGAGAAGCGTGTGAGAAATGTGTCACCCGTGTGTGGCGGAGCCGAGAGACTCCATCTTTAATACAACAGGTGGGTCTTTTTTATTTGTGCGTTAAACCAGACAGAATAGCTATCCCGGTTCAAAGCGGTTTCTCTGCCGCAGCGTAGGAGCTGGACATCCGCGTGAAATAGATTCTCCTCCCGGTGCTCCGTGTTGTGCGGAGAGACACAAAATGAAAGCTTAATATTGTGGTATAACAACATGTTATCTTATTAGACAGATTTACAGCCACACTTAATCACACATAATGAAATATTAGAGATCATATTACATTTGGTCTAGCCGGGTTATTCCTGTATTATGACACAAACAACATTCAATCCTCAACAAGGGAAACTGGGAACAGCAACAGCTTTTGTATACGGAAAAAGATCAGGGCCAGATGATACACACATATTGAGATGTGACCAAAAGTAAAAATGGAGTTCTGACTTTAATCTCAGAAATCTCAGAATTCTGACTTTCTCATTGTTTTAATATTCCCATTGTGAATAACAGCGTTTTTTGTGTTGTATTGTTGAGTTCTGTCTCCATTATGACACAGATATTGCAGGTTTAAATCTATATTATCTCAGTGATGCAATGATACAGTGACATTAAAAGCTTATATGTGTGGTGTGATATTTGTATAATGTTTATGTGCTTGGACAAATCCAATATTTACATATGTACTAAGTAACTTGTCACAGAAATGTGGTTTTGAATGGCCTTTATTTTAGACAAGTATTCTAAGTGTGTTTGTGTGTGTCATGTGATGAAAAGGAAAGTGTTGTTTGAGGCAGAACCAGTCAGACCTGGTCAAAACTGAAGCAGTGTCCCTCCTGCTGCAAATACCTGTCAGGGATGGGCAGATAGGTTATTATTACATCTTCATTTAATCTCCAGCAACATGAAATAAATTGTGTTTTGGTATTTACATTATGCCGTTGAGTGGTTGGCAACACTTTGATCCTGAATATCTTTGTATTTATACCTACGTTTAACATCAAACTGTCAAAAATGCCCCTTGTTTGTGTGGGCTTTAGCTGAACTCAGCAACAGGCTGGTGAATACATATGCAAAACCTCTCAAATACATTAATTGTGAAAAGATAGTGTATGTAGAAGAGACCAAAATCTTATTGATAGATGTTTAGTTATGTCACATTTTCAAAATAATTTGAATAATTGCCCCCCTTGATTCATAGTTATTGTACAGTTATAGGCAAGGCAAGGCAAGGCACGTTTAATTATATAGCACATTTCAACACAAGGCAATTCAAAGTGCTTTACAAAAATGAAAGACATTAATAGCTTTTAAGAAACCAATTAAGAACTGTTGCCGAAAGTCCCACCCAGTTTTCCAGTCGGTCTAGTTATATGTTGTGGTCAACAGTGTCAAACGCAGCACTGAGATCTAATAATATTAACACTGAAGTTCTGCCACTGTCTGTGTTTAAGTGGATGTCATTGAAGACCTTTACAAGAGTTGTGTCAGTGCTGTGGTTTGGTCGAAAGCCTGACTGGAACACATCCAAACAGTTATTTAAATGCAAAAAACTACTTTTTCAATGATTTTACCTAGAAATGGCAGGTTTGATATGGGCCTGTACTTGTTCATTACTGAAACATCTAGATTATTCTTTTTTAAGAGCGGTTTAATGACAGCAGTTTTCAGGGCCTCTGGAAAAACACCTGAGTGAAGAGACTTGTTTACTATGTGAAGTAGATCTGAGGCCATGCAGTGAAAAACATCTTTGAAAAATCCTGTTGGAATAATATCAAGGCAGCAGGAGGAGGATTTCAGAAGTTGAATAATGTCCTCTAGGTTTTTATCATTAATCTGATGGAATTGTGTCATGATGTCTGAATTGATTTTAAGTGGACACAGAGACAAAACATTTGCTGTACCTGATGAGCACTGACTGATTTTCTGAATGTTGTCAGTGAAGAAGGAGGCAAAGTCATTGCAGGCCCTGGTGGATAGAAATTCAGAGGCTACTGACACTGGGGGGTTAGTTAGTCTGTCGACGGTAGCAAACAAGGCACGTGCGTTGTTTTTGTTTTTGGCAATGATGTCAGAGAAGAAAGACTGTCGGGCAATTTTCAATTCCAAATTATAAAAGCCAAGTCTCTCTTTATAGATTTCAAAATGAACCTGGAGATTTGTTTTTCGCCACCTACGTACAGCTTTTCGACACTCTCTTTTTTCTGTTCTCACGGTCATGGCCTTTCTCCATGGAGATATTTTCTTGCCAGTCACTTCCTTTACCTTTGTTGGAGCAATAAGATGTCTTCCTGCATTGAAGGGAATCATTGAACAAAATAGCAACTCCACCCCCTTTCTTATGCATTCTTTCCTGACTCATAAAACTAAAGTTGGGAGGGGTTGATTTGATAAGAACAGCTGCACTGTTATTTTGTTCAATCCAAGTTTCCGTTAAAAACATAAAATCGAGATTGTGCTCAGTGATAAAATCATTGATTAAAAACGTTTTCCTGCCAAAGACCTGACATTTAATAAAGCTAGTTTAAGTTCGTTAAATACACTATCAGTCAGATATTTTGTGACAAGCTGTGGCTGACATGGAATCACTGCTAAATTAGATAAACTCACACAAACGTTTGAGCGCTTCCTGTTTCTAAGCTGATTCACCGATCTCAATCTATTACCTATCAACACAGATATCGGCAGAGCTACTGGCAGGCAGGGCCCCGGCATGTCCTGGAAAGAGTTGAGTGCCATACGCCCTTGAGCCTGGACCCAGCACATATCAGTTAGAGTTTGCTGCGTTTTGTACACACACATTCTTTTCAGGCTTCGGTGACCGCAGATGGTGTCTTGAAGGGTGGGGAGGTGGTTGACATAGGCACGGTGATGAAGACAGGGGAGATGGTGCGCATCTCTGTGGGCGTTGTTGAGGGGCGGGGATAAAGGACATGCTGCCAACCCTGCGTATCGCCTTAATGCGGTCATTGAACTCCAGGAAGGAATTGGTGCCATCCTGTATCTCCTTCATGTGTTCAGCGATCTCCAGGAGGGTGGGCGAGGGTTAGTAGAGAGAGCTGTGGGGTGAAGGAAGAGTATCCTGGAATGTAATAAAAGTTCAAGCCAACAATTAATGAATGCTGGTCTCCATCCATATTTTTCCATGCATCCGCCTCTGTTCCAAACCACTTATCATCTTAAAAGTTACAACAGGTCTGAGGCCTATCCCATACAAAACCATACAAGACTTTGAACATTTGGCATTCAAATGTGTCTTGGGTTATTGGATAACATACAAGTGTAAATAATGCGTGGTAATCCGATCACTTGGAGCATGTGATGTGAGCATGATTTATTTATGTGTCCGTATGCTAATGAGGTGGGCGGTCCTAACCTCAGTCTGAAGCAGGATTGGTTACAGGAGTGTGTGATCATTTCTGGCAGAGGGCTATACTAACGCCTGGCTAACCGCGCTGATTCGAATGCAGGAGCTTTACTGTTTAGCCCTTATCTTTATACATCCATGGTTTATCCACAGTTGTAAGGATTATTTATGGGTTATAAAGAAGCCATTATTAGCGAGTTGCCGTGGGTGTACACTGTACACAGAATGAACAGATGTGACTTGCCACGAATCTCTTGCTTCTGCCTGGCTCCAGCAACAATTGGCGAATCCTGCTTCAGACTGAGGTTAGGACCGCCCACCTCATTAGCATACGGACACATAAATAAATAAATGTATGTCGCGTAAAAGTAGAAATATATGAAAGATATATAATAACGTGTGCTGTTTTATTCCTGTATTTATTTATTCCTTTATTTATTTATTTATTTATTTACGTATTTATTTATTTATTCCTGTATTTCTTCATACATTTATTTACACATTTATTTATTTATTTGTTTATACTTAAGTCATGTTCCGTCCTCCATACATACCCAATTTATACAAAGCCTGTAAAATTGTTGGATTTGTTTTTCATGGAACACATAAAAAAAGACCAATCTATATTGTTTTATACAGGGTGTCCGCGGGGTCTTAAAAAGTATTAAAAGTTGATAAATCAATTTAGCGAAAATTAAGGCTATTAATAAAAAGTATTATAAAGTATTAAAGGGCATTTTCCAAGGTATTTCATTTTGTAGCTTGTTTTCAATAAGTATATCAATTGTCCAAAGAGGTTGTATTCTACAGTCTGCCTGAATGTAATCATTGCGTAGGTGTGTAGTGTGATTCGGTGTAGTTTATTTATGGCATCCCGTTGGATTTGACGTCATCTGAACAGGACGTCGCGCGCTCACTGCTTGATAGCGCGCGAAGCTCCGTTTACGCCGGTTGTTAAACCACATCGTTATGGGGAAATGCAAGTCTGCGTCCAAATGGTTGGAAGATAAGGAGGAAGGACTATCAATACTGTATATAGTCAATGTGAGGTAAAGTGTGTCGCCAATGTAACCGGTTAAAACTCAAAGTGGCGATGAGGTCTTAAAATGTATGGAAAGGGTCTTAAAAAAGGTCTTAAAAGGTATTATATTTGACTTCAGGATTCCTACATATACCCTGTTATATCATTTATTTGGAATTTGAAAAAGGATATTGTACATAATCAACATTCAAACAAATGTAAATGTTTCCAAGTAAGATCAAGAGCTAGCGGTTCCTTCATTAAAATGTTCTGAAGACAGGGCACAGAAAGTGGGTTGCTGCCAATGTCAAATAATGTGTTTGGTCTTTGCAAATGTATATTATGCACATGTTTATTTGCATATAGAGTGGAGAACTGAGACAGTCCCGGTTGTGCCGAGTTGGACAACTTTTGGTCATTAACCAAAGAATTGGACCAATTGCTCTTTTAATAGCATATCCTCTTTTTTTCATTGTCCTTGTTCAATGAAGACATATCATGAGACAGTCAGGATTTTCTTTCTCTATATAGTTCTGTTTGCCTCTAGCTGGAGACTCTTGTGTCCTTGAGGGAAATGATAGCAGGCTGTAATAAATTGGCTTCACAGCAGCCAGGTTCATCTGCACCTCCATCAGCCTCAGAGCCTCATCGGCAACAACTGGTGAACAAAAGGAGCTCTGTTCAGGGACAAACTCAGGAGAAATGTACCAACTGGAAGCCAAGAGCTGACTCACTATTGCGCCTTAATCCAGTCTTCACCTTTTTCGGTTTTTAATCCAGTTTTAATTGTGAGTTTTGGACAGCATTCCTCTTGTTTTGGAGGGAATGACGAGACAGCTTCAGTCCCTCAAAGGAGGAATCCTGGAGTGTTTTGGGCAGACGTGCAGTGAGATGATGCAAAGTCAAGATAAGCTGCTCTTTATTTTCCGCTGCCAGGATATTACGAAACACATCTTGGATCTTTATAAAAAAGACATTTACTGGAACTGGATGCTTGCAAGAAGCTCCGCAAAAACCTTTATTTTAAGGCATGAATCATGTTGTTAGAGTTTACTTTGTCTTATCAGTGCCATCATCTGACAGGACATCATCTTTAGTTTATATCAGGTAACTGCTTTAAGTTTCTCTTACCTGTTTTTGTCAGGAATAAATTATAGTATGCTTGTTTTTGTTCAAGCCTTAACATGTTTAACTTAATTCCCTGGTTTTGGATTTCACAGATGGGGTTTTTCAAACCATGCGAGTGATCAGAATGTGGAAGTGTTGTTGCAGATTTTGACTGTGTGTGCAGTATTTTCTGACTTGAAGTAAAGCTGTATCCTAACAGAGGAGGCCCACAGTGACTGTACTGCCATTCTGGTTAGAACTGGATCAAACAAGGCTGTTTTGTGACCACTTGACCAGATATCCTCTTTCATCCTTTTCCTGTATTCAAGGGGTGAGTACAGCGGATAGGGAGAAACTATCGCAGAGTTCTTTTCTTCTATCCACTCTTCCCAACTGTGTTTTCAAATAGGAAGCAGAAGTGATGATATAAGGAAGAAGGAAAAGTGCTTAGGTGGCTGTATTTCTCACGTAGCCTGGTTGTGGTTTCAGTGTACTGGAGTGTAATCTGCTGAACCCTAGAGTCTTATGGTTTTAGAGTTTCTTTGTTTTCTGTAGCCTAATCACTTCCATTTTACTGAGTTTTCCACTTGAAGTGGTTGAGTATCCCTAGTCATTCTGATACCTATTCTGTGTGGTTTTAAAGGGCTTTTATTTAAAGCGTTTGTATATCATTCTGTAGCTTCCCAGTAGCGTTTCTTATGTATTCAAATCTAAAACATTAAATTCTTGGTTTAAGTATGTATGTTTCGTTGTAAAACTGCTGATTTCCCAAGCCCTTCTAAAATAAGTTTTTCCTCTGTGATCTGACCTCAGCTTTTGCATGATGAGCGTGCCACATACATATAAATATCATCTCCATAGTCAGTGTTTTACTGCAGTTACTAACATGGCCCTACAAAAATGGCATTTAGATCATATCAAAAAACGAATAAATAAATATGATCTTTCACCATTTGTCACCATGCTGCTTTGAAAGAGCTTTGGACGACGTCTTTGATAGTATCCGAAAGTCACACAAATGAACTAATATCAAGGAAGCCGAAAACCCAACTCTTGTGTTCTGCGGGATCAAATAACAGTTTTTATCAGAGGAGTTTGGTGGCGGAACAGAAAGTATATCAACATATCCAAATGAGTTGCTCAGCTAGTGCTAGCCTTCACTGACAAAAACTGAAACGTTGACTTAAATGAAATGTATTATTTTAACAAATGTCACATAACTGTATTAGGTTGGTTGAAAGCAATAATATTAAGTTTAGCCTAATATTTTCTAATTAAACTTAATATTATTGCTTTCAACTAACTCATTCAGTTATGTGAAATCTGTTTACCCAATACATTGAATTAAAGTCAACATTTCCATTTCTCTAGTATTTACATTATTCTTTACCGCATTAATATGCTTATTTGTTAACCTTGGAAGGGTGTATAATTTATTACCCAACAAGAAGACACTGTAACAACTTCATTGAGCCGTGAAGATGTTTGTGCACAGCTGCACATGAGGAGCTCCATGACGAAACAGGACTTGTATAAACACGTGTGCTGTGTCAGGGTCTGTAGTCCTTCAGCTAGCTCTGCAGTCTCTGAGCCGCAGTGTGTGTACTCACATGCAGGATGAGCAGCATATCCACGAAACACTGTGCACAAATATAATGATGTCACAGCTTTCTACCATCAGTGTGGTAACCTCCACATTTTGGATGAAGGATTTAATGATTTGCCTTAAACCAGAACATAGGAAGATCTGTTTGTGATTCTGTAAAAAACGTTTAAATTGCATGCATGATGTTTTGCTAAAGGCTATACAGCATGAGCGGTTCTAGGCGGACGGCACTGGTGGCTAGTGCCCCTGTAACAACAAGCTTAACCCCCCTGTGGCACCCCTCCAAAAGAAGAGTTTATAGTGACAATACAATTTTAAGCAGCGTTGTGCTGACCCCTATCTTATGTGTGTGCTATGACTTTTTACAAAACAAAAATGTTCAACACTGTCTTTGTCTCTTTTGTCCTGCATTAAATATGCCCTTCTCATGAAAAACAGATAAAGATCTTAAACTTTAATTATGAGGAAAGTTACTGAATGATTTCTTGTCGACTTATCGATTATTCAACATATTGTTTTAGCTTTAGCTCGAACAGCTTTATTTGCTGAGGTTTACCCCAACACATGTAAAGGGTTTAAATTGACACGTCACAAACCTATTCCCTTGTTTTCTCTTTCTCTTTTCAGATAAACCATCATGATTCCTATCACAGAGCTCCGGTATTTTGCCGACACGCAGCCTGCGTACCGTATCCTGAAGCCATGGTGGGACGTCTTCACCGACTACCTCTCGGTGGTCATGCTGATGATCGCGGTGTTCGGCGGCACGCTGCAGGTCACGCAGGACAAGATGATCTGCCTGCCCTGCAAGTGGGTGGTCAACAAGTCCTGCGAGACCATGCCGGTCCCCAACGTGAGCGCCGCCTACCCACCGGAACCGAAGGGCATTCAGTACGACTTGGACCGGCATCAGTACAACTACGTCGACGCCGTCTGCTACGAGAACAAACTGCACTGGTTTGCCAAATATTTCCCCTACCTGGTGCTCCTCCACACCCTCATCTTCCTCGCCTGCAGCAACTTCTGGTTCAAGTTCCCCCGCACAAGCTCCAAACTGGAGCACTTTGTCTCCATCCTCCTCAAGTGCTTCGACTCGCCGTGGACTACAAGGGCTTTGTCCGAGACCGTTGTTGAGGAGAGTGACTCAAAGCCTCATGGGAAAATGAACGGCTCCAATGATAAGAAGGCCTCCTGCGTAAGCGAGGATGTTGAGGCCAGCGTTCCCATGCTCCAACGAACAAAGTCCAGGATTGAACAGGGGATTGTGGATCGCTCCGAAACTGGGGTTTTGGATAAAAAAGAAGGGGAGCAGGCGAAGGCTCTTTTTGAGAAGGTCAAGAAGTTCAGGATCCATGTAGAGGAGGGGGATATCGTGTACCGCCTTTACATACGGCAGACCATCATCAAAGTAATCAAGTTTATACTGATAATTAGCTACACGGCTTACTATGTGCGCTACATCAGGTTCAGTGTGGTGTGCACTGTGAACATCCAGAAGCTAACAGGCTACAGCACCTTCTACTGTGCTCACCCGTTAGCCACTCTTTTCAAGATTTTGGCGTGTTTCTACATCAGCCTGGTGGTGGTTTACGGTCTGATCTGCATGTACACTCTCTGCTGGATGCTCAGCCGCTCCCTCAAGCGATACTCCTTTGAATCAATCCGCGAGGAGAGCAGCTACAGAGACATCCCCGACCTGAAGAACGACTTTGCCTTCATGCTGCACATGATAGATCAGTACGACCCTCTCTACTCCAAGCGCTTCGCCGTGTTCCTGTCCGAGGTGAGCGAGAACAAACTGAGGCAGCTGAACCTAAACAATGAGTGGACGCTGGAGAAACTGAGGCAGCGCATCACCAAGAACTCGCAGGAGAAGCTGGAGCTGCACCTCTTCATGCTCAGCGGGATCCCAGACACTGTTTTTGATCTGATCGAGCTGGAAGTGTTAAAGCTGGAGCTCATCCCTGATGTCACCATCCCACCAATCATAGCCCAGCTCTCCAACCTCAGGGAGATGTGGCTCTATCACACGCCGGCTAAGATTGAGGCTCCAGCTCTTGCTTTCCTGCGAGAGAACCTCAAGTCCCTTCACATTAAGTTCACAGACATCAAGGAGATCCCCCTGTGGATCTACAGCCTGAAGAACCTGAACGAGCTGCACCTCACCGGGAACCTTAGCGCGGATAACAATCGCTACATCGTCATCGATGGGCTACGGGAGCTCAAAAGGCTCAAAGTGCTGCGTCTGAAAAGCAACCTGACCAAGCTGCCGCAGGTGGTGACGGATGTGGGCGTGCACCTGCAGAAGCTCTCCGTCAACAACGAGGGCACCAAGCTGATGGTGCTCAACAGCCTGAAGAAGATGGTGAACCTGACGGAGCTGGAGCTGGTCCGCTGCGACCTGGAACGCATCCCACACTCCATCTTCAGTCTGCACAACCTGCAGGAGATCGACCTGAAGGACAACAACCTGAAGACCATCGAGGAGATCATCAGCTTCCAGCACCTGCACCGCCTGGTGTGCCTGAAGCTGTGGTACAACCAGATCGCTTACATCCCCATCCAGATCGGCACGCTCACCAACATGGAGCGGCTGTATCTGAACAGGAACAAGATCGAGAAAATCCCCAGCCAGCTGTTTTTCTGCCGCAAGCTGCGCTTCCTGGACCTGAGTCACAACAATCTGACCAGCATCCACGCTGACGTGGGCTTCCTGCTGAACCTGCAGTACTTTGCTGTCACAGCAAACAGGGTGAGAGGGAAATCACTTCCTTATATTTTGTCCGTGTATCATTTTTAGTAAAACATTATTCTCATTTTCTATGTTTTTGGTTTACCCCAACTTGGTTTGTCATGTGCAAGATAGCTACTGTGCAGTTTTGGCTATGGAAGTCCCAGGCTCCTCCAACAATGCAACATACAATAAGCTCAAGACATGTAAAGTGCAATCAAATAATGCTGCATGTTAGTTTCAGGAATAACAAAAATATATACATATCAAATAAAATAAGTGAAAACAGTGTTAAATCAAATGTAAACTAGAGTAAATGCTGTAATTATATATAAATGCGAGGATGTGGAATAAACAGATGCACAGTGTGTTATATAGGGAGTGGGTGCACCTTAGTGTGCTTGTTTTACTTTCATGTGTCATAAGAATAACTCCAGATAAAAGGCTAGATAACATTTTCTTTAAAGGTCAACACTTGCAGGTTGGGAATCATGGCTTCATAGATAGTCACATGACCAAAGCTTTGGGAGTGTTGCAGTTGTGTTTTCAACAGCACTTAGTCGTATACTTTCTAGCTTTAAGTGTCAATAAGTCTGAGTGAAGGTTTATTTAATGCTCATTTCAATAACAGCAGAGGCTTACCAAAGTCATGTACAGTGGTAAAAGAACAAAAGAGTATATAGGAATTAGGGATGCCAGCGATTATTCGATTTTTCGAATATTCGTTACAGTCTCCATAAACGAAAATTATTTTTAAAATTCGATTTTATTTATATATATTTTTATTATTATTTATGTTTTTCTTTTTTTTCCTGGCTTAGTTTCAACCAAAATATAGACTAATGCTAATAATAGTAATAGTATTAATAATTGTAAATGGCCAGTTTGTTTTACTGTAAACTTGGAGGAAGCCAGCAGCGCAGGCTGCGCAGAGTGCAGAGTGCAGACTGCTGCTGCCTGCTGCCTGCTGCCTGATTTATTGGAGATATACAGAACAGTGAGAACAACACAACTAAAGATGAACAAAGCGGCACGTTCAAAGAAGAGTTCCTCGTGGAACTACTTCGAACTGATAAGTGCAAATGAAGTAAAATGCAAGCTCTGCGAAAAGACTTTGGTCTACCACAGCTCAACATCAACAATGCGTTCGCATTTGAGTGCGAAGCATGCCAAAGAAGTGCCTACAGAGAAAGACGCAGCACAGCCAGCCATTACTAACTTCACTTCAAGGCCACGTCGTTGTGATGACCGGCGTGCAGGTGACATAACTTAATATTCGCCAGGGCTGTCCGATTTTCGAATTTGATCATGGTCAGTTTCTGGCATCCCTAATAGGAATTCATAAATAAAGTAAAAATATAAATACATCAGAACAATATAATAATGTTTCAAAGTAAAGCAAACATGGAGTCAAAATTCAGGTTCAAGCAAACCCTAAAGTGTAAAGGTCTTATAATGACTGAATAAAAGAAGGACTTAATCATTGACATGTTTTACAGCAGTCCATTTATGCTAAACACCATTTTAAATGAATGTCGTCTAATCTTGAATGAAGCACAGGTTGTTCCTGCAGGGCCTTTTCCTTCAGGCTAGTAAATAGAACCAAATCAATTGATGGCATATTTCAACACTTTTAGATATGTTTGAATCATGTCTGTGTTGGGTGAAGATGAGCATTTCAAAATGGGTTTATTTATTTTAATTATTTTTTTATGTTGTATACAACAACACAAAAACAAGAGACATAAAACAAGCCTGCTTCATGGCAACCATAGTAGGAACACATTATGGAAAGACACACATTACACAGTCTGGAGAACTGCATCTATATATCCTCTTATAATAATAATAATAATAATAATAATAATCCTTATATTTATTACAGCGCTTTTTCAATGACTCTCAAAGCGCTCCTTACAAATACACATTACACATACATATCATACATACATGTAATGGTCATGTACTGTGGACAATACCCACAAGACCATAAGATACATTTAGATCCTTACATGATCAATGAATCCATATGTTCTCAAACACATGCTGTCTGGACCCTAATATATAAGATAGCTCCTCCAATGGGAGGCCTGAAAGCATGTGAGCTGTGAGCCTTTTTCCAAAACAATGCTATACAGCAGGGGTCTCAAACTCAAGGCCCGGGGGCCAAATCCGGCCCGCAACTTCATTTTATGTGGCCCAGCAAGAGCTTGCAAAGAATATAATACGTTTATTATACGGTTACATGCTACTTTACAGAAGCAGGTTGCCCATAAACTACATGTCCCACAATGCATCTCGTTTTGTGACATGCGCACTGAAGAGACTCGCAATTATTTCCCCTGGACTTCTGCTTTCAGACGTAGTTAATTACTAAGTTATTATCCTATCTGATAATAATCCAATGCAGAGGCAATAATGTAATATAATACATTATTTTATATATATATATTATATATTTATATAGTTACAACCCGCCCTATGAGTGCAACCTTTATGCGAATGTGGCCTGCGATGAAATTGAGTTTGACACCCCTGCTATACAGGTTTTGGCGTAGAGCACGCTGAGGTCTATAGATGTTCGCTCGTGTTTACTATATTTATGCTCTTCTAGATATAGACCCAGCAGAAAGAACGTTGGGTCCAGTCAAATCTGCTTTGAAATGATTTTCTCTATGTACCTCGTACATTCTCCCAGAACACCTTGATCTTTCTGCACTGCCAAATACAGTGAAACAAGGCTCCTCTTGATTCTGTGCATATATCTGGTATATTTGAGTTTGTTTGTTGAATCAACCAGGGTCACATATGTTCGCATCAACCATGTATACTGTATGAGTTTCAGTGGTGTATTAATAGACCTGGTATGGGCAACAACACGGCCTGGTGTGTCCCAATCTGAGACTTCAGTCTTCAGGCTGTCCTTCCATGCATTTGACCTTTAATGTGAATCCTCAAATGAGAAAGACGAGAGTATATTGTAAAATAGGGCTGCACGATTTGGGGAAATCATCTAATTGCGATTTTTCTGACAGATATTGCGATTGCGATTCGATTTGCGATATTTGTTTTTAAGCGACCCAACGGAAGTTTATTGTAAAATGCGGCCATATCTCCGCCTAGGAAGGTTGTATCAACGTGCTCCCGTCTCTAGCAGCCCCGCAGCCAGAGCTACGAGTGAAAGAACTAAATTACATGAAACTTCCGTTGGGTTAAAGTCAAGCTTCAGTTTAAGATTCACCCTGTAATAGAAACATGTGATGGAGCATTACTAACCTGACTCAGATGCTTCACCAAACCATCTAGGAAAGCTCCATTGGAAGCCATTTGGAAAAGGGCAGGGACTTTCAAATATACTTGGCAGGTGATTGGATCAATCTGTCTATCACCTTCTATCATGGGCCACTTCTGATTGGTTAACAATGACTGGTACATGTGGAGCACAGCACTTCTGATTGGTGTGGATGACTGAGACACAAGAAGAAAAGAAGAAATCGATGAATCGTTCAGCCCTATTGTAAAACTCTCAGTCTGTCCGTTAGATGAGTTTTGGGGTCTCCAAAGTGCATCATTTTGATTAACAAAATTCTAAGCTGGTGGTATTTGATGAAATGTTTTTTATCAAGATTGAATTTAGACCTCGTCTCAAAAACAGGTTTATTTTATTTGTGATGTAGGGATTTATTGTGCTTACAGTGAGTCCTTCTGAAAGCGCTGTTTTTCCCTCATCATGTGTTTTCAGTAAAGACTACTATTACTGCTGTTTACTGTTTGTGTGGTTGAACCTTGGAAATGGGTTCCAGCCGCTTTGTTTGCAGCCAGAAATGTCTCCATTAAACGGGACCCCCCTGTCTCTGAGGTCTGTAGTGCTTCTCCTGCCTCTCCTCTGGACACTGTTGCCACATTATCAATGAGTTGTGTAATTGTGAATATGGGTCCATGCAGGTGTTTAATGATTTATTTTGGACATTGAATGAATAGAGATTAAATTTGTTATCAGGACAGACAAGGAGATTTATAAATAGGACAAGTAAGGGCACAAGGCCATGAGACTCATTTAAAAAACACATTTAAGGTAGAGGTATAATCACCAACCAGGGCCTGAACCACAACAGCCATTTTTAAACCAGAATTCCCACTGTGAAAAACCTTTTTCAACACATATTGAAATATGTGTTGAAAATAAAGTTAATATTTTCAGTGTGGAAACGGTCCACGGACATCTTTAACCCTAAAACCGACATGCACTTTATTCTAATCATTTTTCAGCAAAGTCCAAAAGCTGTCTTATGCAATATAAATAGAGATGGCCTCTGCTGACAGTGGCATGGTTTGAAGAGCAGCGAATACATATTTCAATGATGCATATTCCTTTTATTCTACGGTTATATATATTACATTACATCTCATTTAACTGATGCTTTTATCAGAAGGGACTTCAAATAATTATAACATCCCGATAGCAATGAATATCTTAAGTGCGTTGCCAATAAATACATTAAAAAAAATGTAATCTGTGGAAGCCGTAATACTGTAAAAAGTACGATCAATCATTTTAGCCGGCCCGGCTAAAATAACTGGATGGCCTACCTGCCTGTCAGCCTTCCATCTGTGCACAAACTTATCTCGTGCCCTCATTGGTCATGTGCGCGTTCGTGTGTGTTGGAGGAGGGGCTCTGTAAGGAAGTGGAAGATTTTCTCCGGTTGTGTATTTTCAAATTCTAGCGATCTCGAGCTGGTTTTTTCAAAATTACCTACCCTACCTTTAATTGTTGTGATTTTGTAAAGCACTTTGAGCTGCACGTGATGTATGAAAGTGCTATATAAATAAAGCTTTATTATTATTATTATTAAGATCAAAACCTTAGAACAACAACAAAAACATGCAGGTATATTGGCTTCAATACGCCAAAGTAGTTAGTCTGGTGCATTTGTTTCAACAAACTTTTTAACTCCCCCTCCTCATTATTCTGTCTCCTCTCCTCTTCAGATTGAGACGTTGCCCCCGGAGCTTTTCAAGTGCAAGAAGCTTCGTACTTTAAACCTGGGGAACAACTGTCTGCAGACGCTGCCGTCGCGCTTCGGCGAGCTGACGGGGCTGACGCAGCTGGAGCTGAGGGGGAACACACGCCTGGAGTGTCTGCCCGTGGAGCTGGGCGAGTGCCGGCTGCTGAAGAGGAGCAGCCTGGTGGTGGAGGAAGATCTGTTCAACACGCTGCCTCCGGAGGTCAAGGAGCAGCTATGGAGGGCCGACAAGGAGCAGGCCTGAGAGAAGTCTGACTTTAGGAAGTCATCAAGCAGTGATTTTGGTTTGTAAATCCTTAAGAAGTTTGCAGCCATGTTTTCTTGGCGGTGCTCGGGATGTCAAATATCCTCCGAGGATGTGTTATTGGAAGTTGCCAAGGAAAGATGGCTCAGTGAGGTGGCTTTTCTAATAATATACTGAATACAAAGATGCAAAGAAGGTGATGTTGAAGATGCCTGCAACTCAAGGACGTTGCCTAAGAACTCCTGTTTATGTAAAGGCAGGGAAACCTTGATCATGCTATCATTTCAGCCATGTTTGTCGACGGTGCTTGGGATGTAGCATTTCCTCCGAGGATGTCTTTTTGAATCATCAGGAGAAATATTGCCAATGACGGATAGTATAATAATATGTGTTTTCTGTAACGCCATCCTGAATCTGAAGCTGCAAGGATGAAAGCAGATGATGGTAAACATGCATGCTACTGAAAGACCTCGCTAAAGAAAACCTGTTTATGAAAGAGAACCAAAAAACTGCAAGATTCAGCCTTGCTCACTAGTATCACTTTTTTTGCTGATCATGGGATACATGCACAAATCAAACGTGCTCACAGCAGTGTTTGCCTTCCTCTGGCCTTGAGACTCAAAATATGAACATTTTTACAAACGACATTTGCAGTTGCAGAACTCTGGCAGATGTCAGTAAATGAATGATAGTGCGACTGACAGCCAATCTGTGAGACATGAAGGTTTTTCTTCAGACTCTAAAACCTACGTCCATCTACGCCCTTTTTGTATGCGATCAAAGTGACGGAGATCATCAGCTGATCACACAGCCAAGGCCTTAACTTGAAGGACTCATTCAAGGACATGAAGGGAAACGGGAACATGTCTACAGTACAATGTCTAAACCCTGCAGTTGTTAATATATAACGCAGTGGTGGAGGAATGCCTCTTTCTTCTTCGACTTTTCATTTTGCTTCTCTATCAAATCATGTCTTATTTAGAAATATTTAATTTGCATGACATCGCACACAATACTAGTGTAAAGTGTGTTGAAACAAACCTTTTTTTTCACTTCACAATACTTATATGGTACTTTTTAAATGCTACAACATATTGGTATTCATCCCAAATGTAAGAAAAACACAGCCATTGATTTGTTGTTTTTCGTTGAAGACTTTACTTTCAGACTCCTTGTGAAACATATAGCTGCAGTCAAAGATCTTAAGTGACCTTTGTTCAAGTGAAGGCTGATAAATGTTGCTTCACTGTCTCGATTGTAAAAACACGAGGTGTCCCCTGCTGACAGGAAGTCCCTGTGTTAAAGGTACAGGGTCAAACACATCCAGAAAACTCCCTTTTATTCTTGATTGATGTGTCTTTGTTCAAAGGACAGTTCATCCCAAAACCAGAAATACATATTTGACCTCTTACCTGTACAGCTATTTATCAATCATCATTATTTGTGTGTGATTTGCCTGAGATCAATATAATGCAACTCATTAGATGTATACGTGTTAGGCCCAACTGTTCCAAACTGTTCCAAACTGTTCCAAACTGTTCCGTCATGAATTAGCTAACAACAGCTTTTGAAGTTTATCTTGAGTAGAGATATCCTTGAAAAGCCTTTAATTTAACCAAAAAACAAGGCATTCATTTGTCAAATAAATTAATATTTCAAAAATGTGTAATGGTAAGAAGGATTTTATGATTTGTTAAGACAATGATCATTTAGAATTGCCTTTAAAATCTCAAAAGCTGCTAGAATACACCAAATGATGCTTACATGAAATACACGCAGATCTGAAAGGTAGAGAAGATGCAAGTCACATTGCTCTTACATTTCATTCCAAGTGAACAATCCTAGAATGTAGGGCTGTGCGATTATGGCAAAAATCCTAATCACGATTATTTTGGTCAATAATTGATATCACGATTATTAAAAACGATTATCCATTTACTTTGAAAACATCCATTTATTGAAACAAAAATGTGAACAGTATGTTTTTAACAGTTGATTACCCTGAACTTTAAGTATAATTCAACTGAAAAACCAATAAAATAAAAAAATAAAAATTACATTTTTTTTTTTTTTTATAAAAATAATAATCGTTTTATTTCGATTACGTTGTTTTCGTAATCGTTGCAAGCCAAAATCGTAATCGAGATTAAAATACGATTAATTGCACAGCCCTACTAGAATGTCTTAAATGTAACCTCCCTTCATGTAGGAAGTGGATCTGTCCTTTTTAATGTTATTCTTTGGCACTAGCACTACAGGTGAGAGGAGAACAGATGTATTATTCAAAGAAGTTGGAACTGTCTTTTCAATGTAACACGTATGCAAGCTTGCACATCGTTCATAAAACAACCAGAATATCATTTAGAAAAAAAAGGTAGAATCATGGTACTTTTATGTTCAGTATGATTTTGAATGAGAGCATGAGTTTGACATCCTGCTGAAGTCAAACAGACTTTGATTGCCAGTCTTTTCAAGGAAAAGGAACGTTTCGTTTTTAGTGACTCAAGCTCTCCTCTGTTGGTTTCCTTCGCCTTTTCATTCATCATGTCAGTTTACTCGGGGGTAAACTGGACATTTGTCAGCTATTTGTTTATCCATTCCACAGCGAAATGAGGATAAACAGGAAACTGGTTCTGACCGACCTACACGAGAGAAACATTTATTCCCAGAGTATGCCCAATACGTCCAAATGAGTGCAGCATGCTCTGTGTGCTTGAAACACTTTTCCTCTTAAGATCTTGGCTTTAATAGCATCATTTGGAGTTACCCTGCTATGTTCACTCCAGCCAGGCATCTCGCTGCCAATATGGCCTTACCTTTTACAAGCTGTACGCCCCGTTAATGATCACAAACATCATGTTGTAAAATGTATAGCAGAAATGTGTAATGTCTTTGTTTCATCCATATGAGTGGAATGGTATGTGGTCTTATTGTTACCAGCTGCTTCTCTTTGATTTCACCTTCTTTCTTCTTAGGATATTTAAGGGAACGTTCTGTAATAATACAATTGCACCTTTCTTCACAGTACATTTTGTTTCACTGAGGCCCCGGCTAAATCCAAATGCCCTTCTAGGGGTCATTAGTCAAAATCTGTTTTTGAAAGAAGAGCCTCGGTCCGAGTGTTGTTGCCCAGCATCTAGTTTGAAGGTTGCAAGCAAAGGTCACAGACCAAACAAAACCACCAGAGAAACACCATAACTCAAAGAAACCTCAGCTTTTCTATCATGCATACACTTTTTAAACAATAACATCATTTCAAAAGGCATTTCCACCTTCATTTCATTGCACTTGTTCATTTGTGTGCTGCCAAAATGTGTTTTTTTGAGCTGTTGGATGCCAAACAATAATCGCACATAAAAAAGTAATGTTAATTTCTATCACATTAAAGACATGTATCAGGATGTCTTGTGCATCATTCAAATGTTCATTTGATATGGTAACATGGCTCAGTGGTGCAGTGCAGCTGCCAGAGCTGCTGAGCAAACATCTGCTCCTGCAGCACGGTGTCACATTAGGACAGTCAGACAATGCCCGTCACTTTCTGTATCAAATGTCATCAGAGGTTGGATAGTCGCAGCTAAAAATACTTTTTCTGACCCGAGTTTAACCTTAAATGTATCCTCGGTACAGCAGTTTTATTACATGTTTCTCTTTAAGCTTGAGTGGCTCATATCAATCTATCTAAAGCCATCTCTGGGAAGTTATTCAAACCTTGGATTCGCTAAAATGACTTTCATAAATCTGTCCTTTCTCCATGTTCAGCTCTTTCAGGGTCAGTCTACGTCAGCAAGAAACTCCTGCAGTCAGCCAAACATTTTTCACCTTTGGTCTGCTTACTTTTGGATTTACATCCACAAATGTCCTTTTTGATCCAACATCCACAGCTTAACGGAGTCACTTCCCCTCTGAGTCACATTCAAAACTGCAGCCAGACTCACTTTTCCTGCAAGTCAACGTCAGGAAATCAGGAGGCCCCAAAAAGAAGGAAGTATAAGTGACTAATTAATAGGTTACTTTAAGACTCTTATGCTAATACTTTAATTATGATCACGTAAAAAACTGCCAATTTTGACCTTAAATTACTATAATTAATATGTTTCAAAGCTTTGTTTTCTGTGCAAAAGCGCCAACAAGTTTTGTGTTGCCTATCCTGAAGTTATTTAAAATATAAAACAGAAGTCTGTATTTATGTTATGTACGCCTTAAGAAGTGTAGTTTTGTTTTAATGTATGTGTGATTGATTGTTTTATAGGATTACATCATTTGGATCCACAGAGGGTTTTCCTTTCTGCTAAAAAAAAAGACAGAATTTCTCAACAAAAAGACCCTGACCATCTAACATAGTGAACTCACACACTGTTAATATCTGTCATATTTCTGAAGTGTGTGCATTTATGTACAATTCATCACATCATTTAAACTGCCATGATTGCATTGATCTAATCGCCACCTATGTATAAAACATGTTTTAAATACTTGATTGCATTGACTTTGTACGATGGATTCATCTCGCTGTTCTGGTGCCTGTAGATCGGGGGTGTATGCAGGGGCGGGGGGGGGTGCTAGTGAATTGTCCGACCGGCTCAATTTCTTCTGCATTTCTATAGTTTTACGTATTTAAGTAAAATATGTGAGTACTTTTCCAATCACTGAGTGTTTAAATCAAAGGCAGTGCATTATTCTTGGAATAATAATAATTATAATACATTTTGTTTAAACATTTTATACTAGATCTTGAAGTTGTAAATTAATAAAATTAGAGCAAAAAGTATTCTGTAAAAAACAAAGTAGCTTCTCATAGATTTAAAGACTTTATTGGCATATACTAAACAGCTATAATCTTTAACAAAATTAAGTGTATTTAAGACATGGAAGAAATAAACAATAAAATAATGCAAAAGACAAAATGGTGAAGGTAAATGCATGCATGAATACATTTTAACATGCAAAATACAATAGATGACATTAAATATAATACATTTGTTGGAAATACTCATTATACTAACGATTAAAGTAAATGCACCTTAAATGTGTACTCCAGTACTCTGTTAGTGATTTACAATAGATTTAATTTAATCCTAGCTATTTTTAACCCTGAGTTGCCACTAGATTGCACTGTAACTATTTGTTATTTATTTCCGTGTTAAACCAATGACATGGGCGACATCTAGCGGCCACAGTGTGTTACTGCACCTCCAGTGTTTGTATGCCGCCATGAAAGAGTTAAAGTCCAAATCCCATTACGGCTTCTGTTGGTTACAGTTGAATTGATTCGGACAGGTCACGTGGTCGGAAATCAGCGACTGCAGGCTGGAGTTTGTCTGGAAGATTCACACAGGAGGGAGATTTCTCCGAGCAGAGAACATGGATTTTATGACAGATCGGGATGTGCAAAAGGTGAGCGTTACATTCAAATAAAAAGTACACAAGGTACAGTGACATGTAGCTCACTTCCATCAAGTACTTTGTCCTTACAGTGTACTTATTCATGCTCACAAACAACTGTAACTTGATTGTATGCAAACAAACGTGTATTTACTTACACCAAGTATACCGACATGTTTCAGTGTTCTGTGTGATGTTCCTGCAGGATTGTGTGTTTATATTCATATAGTTCACGTGACGGCACATTTGAGGCTCATTACATAACCTGCTGCAGCCACAGGTGACCTGTCCTGCTGTGTGAAGCAACAGATCTGCATTTTACAGTAAATCTGCCATTTAGCATTGTAGCATTATACAGCACTTTAAATAAAACGAGTAATGACACCACCAGGACATAACACCAAGATCAAATCAATCTCTTTCCTTTACCAGGTTAGCAAGTTTATAAGAGTCGATGTGTCACAAAGTGCTTCAAACAACAGACATAACATATTATCTAAAGGATTTGAGAATATACACAGTGTATGTTATTCTAAACACGATCGTGTGAAAAACAACTAAATAGTTGATCTTCAGAAAACTATGCACTGATTGTTCTATAAAGTGTCATTCATATGTTGACATTTCAAAATTAGAAGGAAAAAAACCAAGTCACATCCTCTCCAAAAAGAAACCAAAGGACACGTCTCCATTAGTGATCTCCTCATGTGACCACAGCCCATAGTGAATACACTGGATGACTGCTATGACCTGTCTGTAGTGTTGTAGTTCATCTATTGCATATTTGTTTAGGTAAACGCTACAAGTATATAATGATATCATGGAATATGATGCAGATTAAACTAGCAAACATATACACACATTAACACCATTATATTACAGTAAACACTGACAGGGGACACTTTACCGCACATTGACTACTTTTATTTTTCATACACTGAGCTGATAATACTTTTACTTTAATAAGTGAATGAATCCAGGACTTTCACTGGACTTGTTAAAAGCTCTTTGTGCATGATCCATGGATTTATTTTATTGTATTCATATATTGTTTTAGTAGTCTCATATTCTGTACACAGTACACACTGTAAAGCCCCCTGAGACTAATGTAACATGTGTGATATTGGGCTATATAAATAAACTGAGATTGACTGCAGTACCTGGAGGAGGGGTACGTGGTTCTGGACGGGCTGCTGACCCCCCAGGAGTGTGATGAGCTGAGGCAGAGGATGGGGGACATGGTGGAGGAGATGGACGTCCCCCAGCACTGCCGCACCACCTTCTCCACCAACCACGACGAGCAGCTCAAAACTCAGGTGACTCACCTTTCAATCTGTTACATTGTTTATTAGTTTACCATTGACTAAGCCACAAGGAAGGGTTGGTTATTTCAAATTATCGGGTTTTTATTTTAGATATTTGTTTCATTAATGTTTATTTATTTGATGTTATATCATTTATTTATGGTATTTTATTTTACTTTTAAAATACTTTATATTATATTATTATTATTATTATATTATATTATTATATTTTACTTTTACTTACTTACACTTGTTTGTGTTTATATATGTTTAAAGGCATGCTTTTATTATTTTTATTTTTTTATTATTGTATTTGTATAATCTTAAAGTGGGAGCAGGGATGGGGTTAAAATGTAAATGAATAAACATAAATAGGCCCTGGATGTTTATTACAAGACATTATAATATATGACATTGTAATACATTTATATATATTTATATATACAAAAGCATCTGCTCAGAGCCATAGATAAGTCATAAACTGTGTCAAAATATGACATATTTATCCCACTGTTTGTCTTCTACATGCTTTCCATCATATTGCACTAACAGATGCAGGTAAGGTTCACACTGATGTTTCTCAGCTGCAGAACCTGAGTGTGTCTGTAGCCCCCCCCCCCCCTTATTGTCCCTCCTCTCAGGCTAGTGGCAAACACACGGTCCACAGTGTATTCAGTGTTTTCAGTGTCAATGTCTGAACTCCCCCCCCCTGTATCAGATGACTGACGTTAACCTTTGACCTGCAGGGAAACGCAGACTATTTCATCACCAGTGGAGACAAGATCCGCTTTTTCTTTGAGAAAGGAGTTTTTGACGACAAAGGTGAGCTCTATTTGGAGTTCTCTCCTGCCTCTACTGAATGTTTTCTGTATCACCAAACGCCACATTAGATGGGTGAAGCTTTTTTCTTGTCTTGCAGGGGACTTCATCGTACCAAAACAAAGGTCGCTAAATAAAGTCGGACATGGTGAGATTACTAAAATTAGATGTCCAAACATCATGCAGAGCTTTTAACAAGTCCAGTGAAAGTCCTCCAATCATTTACTTATTTAAAGGTCCCATGTCATGGCCATTTCTACTGATCATAATTCCATTGTTGAGGTCTACTAGAATAGATTTATATTGTGCAATTTTCCAAAATCACATTGGTCTCTCATACAGCATCTCTGTATAGTATGTGTATTCACTCTCTGTCCTAAACGCCTTGTTGGAGCTCCTGCCCCCCCCCTCCCTGTGAGCCCAGTGTGCTCTGATTGGTCGGGACGTTGCGAGGCTCGTTGCTGCTGCGAGCTGCTGCGAGGAGCGGACAGGTTTCCGGGTCGGCGATACAGCGAGAACAAGCCAAACTCATCCTGAGCACACACAAACACTCACAGCCGAAGTAAAAACAATAAGTGTGGCTTGATATTGAGTAAGAAAAAGGTTTATAACGCTGTGAGAATGGGTCTGCAGAGAGCATTTCTCCGCCATCCCAACTCGTCTATTACCAGCGTTCAGGGAGCTCTATGCAAGTCAATGGGGACTCCCTGTTAGTTAGCCAAGGGATCCTGGTGTGTGAGGTGCTCCGCGGATTGGTCCATTTGGGCCAATCCGGTCATTTGTTGTTGATTTGGGTGTTCACACGTCAACCCAGGAAGAAAACAATGGAAAATGAGAAATCTCCAACGAGGCGTTCTGGGACAGCAGAGACAGGTCTTTTCTGTGTTAGAGTTTTACTCGCTACAGGGTGTACTTTGAGGGTTTGTGACTCTGCACACCGTTTACATGCAGAAAAACCTTCATAACACACAAGGGGACGCGTAATAACCGGAAAAGCATGACATGGGCCCTTTAAGTAAAAGTATTACCAGCTAAGTGTTTGAAGACAAAAAAAGTAGTCAATGTGTGCGGTAAAATGTCCCCTGTCAGTGTTTTACTGTAATATATGGTGTTAATCCTACAGCTGTGTTAATGTGTATGTTTATATACTTACTGTTTAATCTGCAGCATTGCATCATACTCCTGAGATCATCATATACTTGTAGCGTGTACCTACACATTTGTATAGCTTTGAAAAAAGATCTTGTTTTTCCCAGTCACTTCAGTTTATCAGAAGCATTCTAAATCTCCAGGGCCCAGGAGTTCAAACACTTTTAATCCCTATCTGACAGAGATGGAGTACTCGAGTCCTGGACTCGGACTCGAGTCGGACTCGAGTGCCGATTTTCGGGACTCGTGACTCGACTCGGACTCCCGCACTGATTGACGCGACTCGGACTTGGACTCGTGAATTCTCGCGCACGATGACTTGGACTCGGACTCGGACTCGTGAATTATCGCGTACGCTGACTTGGACTCGGACTCGGACTCGTGAATTTTTTCCCCCATGATGACTCGGACTCGACTTGTACATTGACGCTCCGACTTGGACTCGGACTCGGACTCGAGCAAGTTTTCTATGGAGTCTGATGTCCTCTATCCTGGCGTGTGCACCGGCTGCGAGGCGAGTTCACGTACTGGGCCCCGCTATTCCAGTCTAAAGATGTCTAGAGACACACCCCGCATCGTGCTGTATGCTTTCACACATTCTGCTTCCACATTGGAAAAGAGCAGCGCAAAATGCTCTATGTGGAAACAATATTGAAGAGAAGGCTCCGTAACACATTACTCTAAACATCGAGTTCAGACATATAGGCTGTCTTGAACACTATCATCAGAGTAAAGTGATCTAATCAATAAATAAAGATTCAGCCGATAACACGAAAGCATATGGCTACTTAACATGCAGAATGACGTCATTTTGCATGCTAAGTAGCCATGTGCTTTCTGGGGCTAAATCTTTATCAGTAAACCGATTTAACCGGTAAAAGTTCCTTCAAAATAAGAGTCCCGATCTTATTACTATCAAAATAAAAGTGCAAAACGAAAACTTTACCATAGGAAAATATTGGCATACAAATATAATCACTTCTCTAAAAGGTAACTCATTTTAAACATAGTTTATATATAATAATAATAATAATAATATTAATATTAGTAATAAGCTTTATATTTGTATAGCACCTATTACAAGAATTGTAGCCAAACTGGCTTCACAGCAGTTCAATAGACAGATTAGTATAACATGACAGGATAAAAGCAATGTAGAGGAGCAGCTACATTTCAACACATATATCCACGAAGATTAATACATGAAGACTTGTGACTCGGACTTGACTTGGACTCTTCTTAGGTGACTCGGACTTGGACTCGGACTCGAACACAGGTAATGATGACTCGGACTCGGACTTGACTCGGACACTCCTTGGGTGACTCGGACTTGGACTCGGACTCGAACACAGGTAATGATGACTCGGACTCGGACTCGACTCGGACATTCCTTGGGTGACTCGGACTTGGACTCGGACTCGACTACGACTCTCCCTTGGTGACTCGGACTTGGACTCGGACTCGAAGAGTGGTGACTCGAGAGTGACTTGGACTCGTGAATTGGTGACTTGACTACAACACTGCTATCTGATCAGATCAGATTTTGAAATCCCATTTTTTGTGATCCAGGATCAGACAAGTCGGCCAGATTTTGTCCCTGTAGTTCAAAGCAATTCAGGATAGGATCACCCTGATCCAGATTACGACTTTTCAAGATTACTAGATCCTGAATATCAGTGCTTTAATCCTGCCGATCTCCATCTAGTGGATATGAAAAATAAGGAAGACAAGAGACCACATTGCAGAGACATCTATTGTCCGCAATTACTTTTGAAAGGTGATGACAGATGATGGACTTTTTTTTTGTTGAAGATATTTTTTCTTTAATCTAAATTGCATTTGTGATTGACAATCTTTGTTGTGATACTTTTATGAGCATACACATTTATGTCATCAACATTTGGTTGAAAGCAAAATAGGCCATCTCAAACGTGAGCAAAAATGGAAAAATAAAATGTATTTCCCATGAAGGCTAAAAATGGTGTATTATTTCAGTTAACAAACTTTGCCATCTTATTTAAATTGAAACATATTTTTAAATCAATTGTACAGTACATTTAGCTCTGGTAATCCACTGGAGATCCACCCCTCTGGTGGGATCAGGATAATCCAGTTTTTTGGGATCAAACTGATCCCAATCCTGTGTTGTCGGTTTAAACTACCCGTTTTGAAGATTTGATCCAGATTAAAGCTTGGATTGGATTTCCTGATCTGATCGGATATCAAAGTGATCCTAATCCTGTTTTTTGGTTTTGAACTACCCAAAATCCAAATCTGATTTGATCAGATAGGGATTACAAATTTTGAACTCCTGGGCCCTGGAGATACATGATTCTTTACTGGACAGGGATAAACATTTTGAATCTTAAATCTGACTAAAGCTTTCACATAACTGTGCAGTAGAAAAGTACAATATATCCTTAAGATGTGTTGGAGTAGAAGTGATATAAAACTGAATTACTAAAGTAAAACAATCTCAAATTTGTCAAACATTAATACCTAATCCCAGTTTTTGTCTTTAGCACTGCATGCCTATGAGCCGTTGTACAAAAAGGTGACACATTCACCCAAAGTCCAGGTGAGTGAGCCGTTGAATATCAGAGAATAATGCTGAGTCCCTGAATAACTCACATTGAATACATAATGCATTTGATCTCAGGGCTTAGCGAAGAAGCTGGGCCTCATCAGTCCTGTGATACTGCAGAGCATGTTCATCTTCAAGGTAACACATTCAATATGAAGGAAATGTCTTGTTTACATTATGCTGTGTGTGTAGTTAAAGATATCCATATATGTTCCTTCTCTCTCCCGCAGCAACCAGGGATTGGTGGAGAAGGTAAGCTGATTTAGTTTTTTAAATGTTAAAATAGTTTTTCTTTACCACTGTTTTCCATAGATATTTAAAGATATTATAATATTGTATTTCTGCATCTCTTGCAGAATCTGCTGTAATATCAATACATTGTGTGTTAACAATTTAAACTGAGATGTGCTTTATAAATAAACGTACCTTGCCTTGTGAGTTAAAGGTAGGGTATGTAATTCACTTCAGAAACACTTTTTGTTATATTCCATGGAATGCTCTTAACATCCCGATAGCAATGAATATCTTAAGTGCTTTGACAAAAAATCCATAAAAAATGTCATCTGTGGAAGCCGTAGTACTGTAAAAAGCACGACCAATCATTTTAGCCGGCCCGGCTAAAATAACTGGATGGCCTACCTGCCTGTCAGCCTTCCATCTGTGCACAAACTTATCTCGTGCCCTCATTGGTCATGTGCGCGTTCGTGTGTGTTGGAGGAGGGGCTCTGTAAGGAAGTGGCAGATTTTTTCCGGCTGTGTATTTTCAAATTCTAGCACACTCGAGCTGGTTTCTCCAAAATTACCTACCCTACCTTTAATGCAATAGGTCAGTGGATCCCGACAGGGGGTATGGGACCCCTAGGGGAACTTGAGGGGATTGCAGGGGGTACGTAGAAAGATTAGGAATTGCAATTTATTTCCACACAAAAAAACACTTTTAATCAATTTTCCTAATCCTGGTGTCCGGCCTGGCTCTGCGTCTGAGACTATGGTCTGAGAGGAACAGCTCCTGCTCTCAGGATGGTGTTGATGGTGATTGTCTAGCACTTTTTATTTTTGAAAGACCAGCAGGCTCAAGTGTCTCATTAAAAGTCTAGTGACTTAATCAAATATGTTAAACTGCTAGAAGTGAGACTTAATATTATTATTTTTCTTTCACTCACAATAAGTGTTAATGTCCAGTTTAAATGCATTTGTATTAAGGTATTTTCATTTGGGAGCAGTTGGGTTGAATAGGGTTACAAAGGGTTTAAACATGTAGGTGAATGATCAAAGAGGAGTGAGGGGGTTCTTTTAGAATGGAGACCGGCTCGAGGGGTACATGAGACACAAAAGGGTGGGAACCACTACAATAGACTGTGTTTTTTTAAAGTGACGCCACATCAAGATGCTACCTTTCTGTACACGGAGCCTCTGGGCAGAGTGACGGGTCTGTGGATCGCTCTGGAAGACGCCACCGAGAACAACGGCTGCCTGTGGTTCATCCCGCGCTCTCACAACAGTAAGACTACCTTTCATTTACATTGTGAGGAAATGAACCATTAACTGGGGAAACAAAAACAGAGGAGGGATCCCACTCCCGGGCCAAACAGACCCGGAATAGATGTTATGTGTACAGAATAAACATTGAGTAAAATAACAACATAGACAATCCATATGACAATAATTGAATGTGTGAACAAATGGGTTCAGCAGGATGTGAAAGAGATTCAAGGTGCTGCCACGATGACTTCATTCTGGATTGTTAGGGATGTTGTTTGAGGCACTTATTTCTCTTCTCAATATCTATCTCAAATTGAGTTTCCAAAGGATGCATCAACTGACTAAATAGCTGACTCTATTGATGTTGTATGTAATAGTTTCTAATTGTTTTTGCAGGTGGTATATCTCGGCGTATGGTGCGTACCCCTAAAGGCACGTATCCCATGACTGACTTCACCGGGCGAGAGCAGACCTACGATGAACAGAAGTTTCTCGTTGCTCCTGTTAAGAAAGGTAAGCCACTTTTGTTTTTAACCCTTGTGTGGTGTTCATATTTGTGTTACTCAGCCAGTGTTCGTGGGTCTGGTGGACCCGCTGCTTTTTTGGCCTTCAATTCAACACAATCAAACTATTTGATGTTCAAAATACTCAACAGATGTTTACTTCATCCCAATTACAAGCAATATAAACAGTATATATGGTTCATATTTGCCCTTTTACATTTGTTAGATCACATTAATGAATTCAAGTGCTTCTTGTTTTTCTGCCCACTGACCGGCTGGTCCTGTGGCTCGTCTTTTTAGTAACTAGCTGATCCTCTTCTTCAAAGTCACTGTCAGACTCAGAATTCTCAGAAATGTGATCCTCACATTCTGAAGCCTCTTCCTCTTCCTCTACATCATCATCAAATGGTTCTCTCTCTTCCAGAATCATTTGCAAGCCCCTCTGAGCAGAGAATCTTTTGGCCATCTTGATCAGCTGTGATAAGGACCCAAACTAGCGAAGCTTTATTTATTGTGTCTTGCCCCAAATGTGCAGCTGGGAAAGGTTGCCAAAAAACACCATATAGTCTCTTTCTATACATTGTCATCGTATTTGAAAAATGTAATGAATCAACTTAATCTAAAAATGAATATGTAACTATTTAAATATGCAATATGCATGTGATGAAGGCTGTTGAACTGGATTTGCTTGATTTCATTAGCCTCATCCCAATACCCCTCCTCGACTCCTCTCTTCCCCTCCTCCGGGACTTGACCCGGAAATCGATCAAGACACGCCATTTTGAAGGACGTCCCAATAGCTGAAATGCACACGGAGGAGTCGAGGAGGGGTGAGGGAGGAGGGGTGCAGGAGGAGACGAAAGGGAGGATACACGAGAGCAGACTACGCGGAAGTGTTTTCACTACTCGCGTATAAAAGCCCCGCCCCCACCTTCACAGCTGGTCGATTTCAACACAGGAAAACGGAGAACTGGAAGAATGAGTGGGAAAGCGTCACATAAATGTATAAGTGCTCACAGCTCCGTGGGAATTATTATGTGCAATTCATTTCTTAAGGTTATACTAACAATTTAAGTCATGTTTAATGATCTTGAATGTCACTAAAACATAGCTATTAAGAAAGCTATTTCATAAATGGCTAGATCTTGATAAATAACAATTATTTGTTTTGTTTTGTGTTAAGATATTCAGGAGTTAAATTATTTAAAATGCACAGTCCTGAATGTGGGTTTCTGGTGAATGTGGGGATCTACAGGACACACATTTTCAGAGTAAAGGCTTTCACATTATTATAATTATAATTTTATTGAAATGTACATTTTACACCAAAACAGAGCACAAAAGCAGGACCAACCATCATACATTGAATTCCTTGACTAAAAAGAGAAAGATTCATCATTTAAATACATATTTAACAACAAATGGGCCGGTTCTAAAGGTTATTCAGTTAAACCCAATGAGAGGGGATACAGCTGTGCACATGTCATCATTAACAGACGTCGTTTAAGAGTGACGTTTGAGTGAACGAGGACATCCCAATTAATACCTGAGGACTCCTCTGTCCTCGCGTCACCTCCTCGTGTCTCTCGCTCGCATCTTACGGAGGCGGAGCTAAGACGCAAGGAAGGGACGCGAGTGAGGGAAAGGAGGAGTCGAGGAGGGGTATTGAGACGAGGCTAGTGTGAACCGTGTGCCTCCTCTTCTCTCCGGCTCCAGGAAGTGTGGTCCTGATCGACGGGGAGGTGGTGCACCGCAGCGCTGAGAACACCTCGGAGGATTCCCGTCACGTCTACACCTTCCACATCATGGAGAGCCAGGACACCCGCTGGAACCCCGACAACTGGTGAGAGCCCGCTGCGTCCTTCTGTAGCACACGTTGGTCCTCTAGAGAGCAGATCGCTGTCACAGTTTCACATTATAAAATATGAGTTCATAAACTGAAACATTGAAAACACAACCCTCCGAATTTTGCACATTGCACGTTATTAGTGCTCATATTTTATTAGTAGATTTGTTTACGGGTATATCTATATTTCATCCATATTCCATATAAATAGTGTTATATTTTAATGTTATTAGAGTTTTCTTTAAATCGTTTTTTTATCCTAGTTTGATTTGATGGTTCTTTTCTAACAATCAATCTTCTTTAACTGTGTATGTATGCATCGTATGCAAGGCAGATTCCTCTATGTGTATACTTCTAATAACAATAAACCTGATTCTGATCTTTAGGAGGTGTGATGTGTTTGAATCAGAATTGTAACTTTGCCAAAAATATATACTTTTAAACATCCATTTTGTAATTGCAGTGGGATTTTCTTGTCTTATCAATTCTCCTTCACATCTTTTTATATCTTTGACGTTTTCAATTAATAATACATTTCAAAATAATAATAATAATAATGTCAAAGAAAATGGTTAAAAGATGCGTTTCTGTACATTATTTTCACTACCGTTTGGCTAGCCCAAGAAAAGACATGGCTGCCTGTGTTAAGGGTGTGTTTGCAAAGGAGGATCAACATTTCAGAGTGACCTTGCAAATGCTTCTAAATGAAACGTTTGAATGATAAGAGGAGGAAGGTTGTGTTCTCACTAAGTCTGAAATGTCTCCACTTGTCATGCTTCCATCTGTTTGTCTTCAAAGGCTGCAGCCCACTGAAGAGCTCCCGTTCCCGCAGCTCTACACTAAATGATGACATGTTGGGCTGCAGTTCATGGACAGACCTGAAGGAGGCACCAACACGTTTGAACCACAGATAAGAGACATTTCTCTGAAGCTACAGTACATGAAGGCTGCTTTCAGGCAAAGTCACAACTGAATCAATGGTGACTCACATCTTTTTAAATAGGACGTTTTTGTAAAAATGAATTTGAGATAACGTTTCTAACAGCTGACATTTAGGTCTACTTTTATTCAGCAAATCAAACATTGTCAAATGTGTGTCAAAACAAGACGGTAGATTCCTTTTTATTTTTATTTTGCAGACAACAGTAAGCATTGCTATTTTCAAGTATGTTCATGTTAAGATGAAATGAAAAAAAAAAAAATGTATTTTTGACTGGATTATCAATCACAACATTCAAACCTTTTTTGTCCATTTTAAAATTAAACTGTGAAACCAAAAGACGTGTGTGTGTTCTCTCACCGTCAGTCACACAGGTCCTTCTCTTTTCTCAAATGTACTAAAATAGGAGACATAACAATTGTATCTACCTTTTTGATGCACTCAACATGCAATATTACATAAGAAATGTAAGGATGATGTAAAAGTAACAGTAGTATCATGCTAATAAATAAAAAAACACCAAATAACTTTTACAGATGATCAAATACCATAAGGCTGTAAATGAATTCATGCTGAAAACATGTTTCAGGTTATAATCTGAAGCATCCTCATCCAAAACGATGAGATTAAACCTGACGAGGATATGTATGTAAAGCATAATGAAAGTTGCTAAAAAGAAAAAGGCCTTTGTACATCATTTTTGACCAAAGCACATCTACAAACTCCGACAATATGCAAGGTTTGAAGGCTCAGTCTCAGAGGAAATATTTATATTAAGTGTACCTTTAAATGGGTCCCATCAAACCTCAAAGAAAACCATACTGCAGAATACCTGTGTACATGTTACAGTACTGATATCACATTAGTGTCATGCAAGAGCAAAGTAGATTTCTGCCGTATTGAAGTATAAATCAGCCCTTATAAAGAGAGGGGCTGCCATGCGTTCATCTACATAATGTGTGATAGAAAATATACTTCTTAAGGCAAATACTCTCAGCAGTATTCCTTCATATTGCCGTCGGGGAGACAAAATAACATTAAGAAAAAGACTACGCTAACTTTAAATAATGTTCTTCAAAGGCAATACAAAGGTATCCATTAGCAAAAGGGGAACAAGATATTGATCATTGGTGATTCGTAATGTGCCGCTAGCAGCATCTGTACCGTCCAGAAGTGTTTAAGGAAATTTTTCCCACTTTGCTAATCCCCTGTTGCATAATTCAGGAGGTTTGGTGTCATTTATTCTGCAATGCTCGTCTTATTCCTTAAAGTAACTGGTATAGAAATGACTTGTGATGTGAGGGCCGCAGATTCTAATGTCACGGGAGACCTGATAGGAAAGTGAGAACACTCAAATGTATCTCGTTATTCATTCTCTTCGTCTGATCCAAATGCTTTTCTCCCATTGAACAGATAAAAAAAAAGGACGGGTACAAACAAATCTACGGTTCTTGTTCCTTATCTGTGAAAAAAGGTGGTGGAAATGTTTCGCCACAGAACCTTTTTTTCCAGCTGATAAATATTGTTTTTTTAGAACTTCAGAAAGATTTGTACTGGTCCTTAAATCATAAAGACAGGAGCAACTGATTAAAAATGGATCGCCAAAACGTTTCTCATTTTCCTATCAGCTCTTTACTATTGAATTATTTCGTGCCCCATTTGTTTGTTGACATTACATTTATCCGGCTGTCAGTCCGTTACCTTTCTTTTCTTGTGCTGATCAGTCAACTGATAAAGGGATTTCTGTTACTAAATTAATATCTTTCCAAATTTCTCAAACTTTCCCCCCCCAAATCATCTTCCTTTCTCCCCCTGGAAAGAGCTGAGGAGAGCAGGAAGAGTCTGTTTTTGTTTCTCATCTCTCCCATCAAAGCTGCAGCAGGATGAAGAGGTAGAGGGGGAGGAGGAGGTTGTCTATTTGGGAGGTGTAGGCTTCCAGCATGGCCACCAGAGAGATGGAGCCCACGATCCAGGAGTAGGTGGAGTTCAGATTGATGCTCCCGTCGAAGATAAGGAACATGGCCACGGCGATAATCTGGGCAAAAATAGACGTCGCAGTTCCCTCCATGGTTTTCTTAGTGCCGGGCCAACGGATCTCTCCCATGGTGCTCCCGAAAATAGACGCCACCGTGTCCCCCACCCCGACAGCCAAAACCCCGGCGTAAGGCACCAGGCCTCCTGCCCCGGGGAGGACCCCATGTGGAGCACAGGGTCCTGGGAACAACCATAAGGGTAGAGACATGCCTATCAGCAGGTAAACATGGGTCAGGATAAGAGGCCCTGAGTCCCGCTCATCGAGGAACAAAGTGAGGAGCTGCCTGAGGAGCTGACCGAACGGCATGATCCGGAAATAACGCACGTACTCCAGGAACAAGAAAACCGCCAAGCAGCCCACAGACGCCACGTGGAGCAGCTGCCTGTCGTAGATCAGCCCAGGAACATACGTAGCCACCACGATGAGATGGAAGTACTTCCGCACAATCGTCGAGGCCTGGTGTTTCTTGGACCCGGATTGGCGCTGGTAGTTCTGGTGCAGCACAACGCAAGTGGCCACGGCAACCAGAAAGAGCCAGTACCCGAGCAGACACAGCCTTCTGTCGTTCAAAGTCACAAAGTCCAGCAGCCACATGAGCGGATGCCTGCCGATGAACAAGGAGAGCCACGGCATGAGGATCCCCAGACCCAGGACGGCGGTCATCATGTGGAAGAAAAGTGACGACACCCAGGTTTCCGACTCCATGAAGCAGAAGAGCAGGGCGAAGAAAACCCCCAGCAGCAGAGAGCCTACAACAATAACTGGCAGGAAGTAGTTCACAGGATCACCTTTGACCTCTGCAAGGTTCAGGGAGCGCTTGATGAGCTGGTTGACGATTAAACTGATTCCCCCGACGATAAGGAGCGCCTCGCCGGGGGTGAAGCTGCGAGGCAGGAGGTAAAGCACAATCAGGCTGAGATAAACGAAGATCAGAAGCACCTCCAAGACCTCGATGACCTCTGAAACGGTCAGCGTCTGTTTGGTGGTGTAGAGGATGGCACTTCCTGCCATACCCGCGATCACGCACGTGTTTGTGGGTACTGGTCTGGTGATTCCCAGTGCGATCAGGGACAGAAACAGAGCGAGCATCATCCCAGTAATGGTAACCACCATGGAGAAGCGTTCAAAGTAGACGTTCCCCGAGGCAGAGCACTTTTCCTTCAGCACCAGGCCCAGCAGAGGCATCACCATGGAGGCCGGCACGATGCCGCTGTTTGCCGAGGGGCGAAACTGGAACACGGCGCCTCCCGCTCGGAGAAGACGGTCCCATTTGTGCTGCACGTAGAACGCCTGGATGAAGAGGGCCACGATGCACCAGGAGTGCTGGTTCCACACGGCCGTGTGGACGCACAGCACCATGGCCAGAACCACGGCAGACTCCACGTACGCCGGGTTGATCTGCATGGCTGCAGGGGGGGGAGGAGAGGAGAGAGGGAGGGAGGGAGGGTCTGGAACAGATGGCCTGCAACATTGAAGGCCTTCTTCGGTCACTTCCTCTCGCTGACACATCATATGGCAGCTATTTTTCATTTGCTAAGGATAGAAAAGAGGGGGAAATATAAATCAGTGAGGTTCCATTTATTGGTACAGGATGTACGATACGGTACATCTGGTGACGTAAACAATTCATGTCTGATTTCTTTTCTTATTCATATAATAATAATCAGAACCAGAATACCTTTATTTGTCTCACAGAGGGGGGGCTTACATTGTTACAGGGAAAGTAAAGCGTTATAAAAAAGTATAATTAAGAGGCATGCATAAAATATTAAAGATACAAATAGAAATAACACAAAATACAATTTCCAAAAATACACATCCATGGATGGACAACAAAAAGTACTAGTAACAGTATTTTTTTGTAGAAGGTATAAAGTAGTGTGATAGCAGCCAGGTAACAGTAGTAAAAGTGGAAGTATATATATATATATATATATATATATATATATATATATATATAGATATATATATATATATATATATATATATATATATATATATATATATATATATATATATATATATATATATATATATATATATATATATACACGTATATATATATATATATATATATATATACACGTATATATATATATATATACCGTGTATCTCTCTCTCTATATCTATATCTATATCTCTACGTCTCTATCTATCTCTCCGTCTCTATATATCTCTATATATATATATATATATATATATATATATACGTATATACGTATATCGCAGTTATTTACAGATTTATTACAGTAGTTGAGTTGTCTAAGATATAGGAGCCAGTAATAATAATAATGATTATAATATGTGTAATAAACAGGACAGTAGCTATTGGTTTCATCTGAATGTGAGACTACAAATTGACATTATTCACCAACTATCATTTTATGATCCGTTTCTCCATGAGTCATCATCCTATCCTTAAAGTGAACCTTGCTCCTGCTTTATCTGCTTTCTGCCATGAACTATGGCCACACTGAACATTCAACCAGACAGTGTGAAATTCACACACATGGTATGAATGAGGCCCCAGGAGAAATGCATGGTCTTTCTAAGCTGTATTTGTTGTAATGGTTGCAAACTTGCTAATTTGGTTATTGTATGTCTCTTTGTGGTCATTTTGCGTTCATTTCTGGTTGTATACTGTCTTTTTCTGGTTGTTTTGTGTCTTGTTATGATAATTTTCGTAGTGTTGCGTCTCATTCTGACTTGTGCCCATACCAGGCAATAACATTACATTTAAGCAGGGCTCTGGCCCAGGGGCCCACAAACCAGGTCAAACACCCGTCCATACGTTGAATGGTCTTCCACCTGGGCTAAATCATCTATGAAGGTCTTGTAAACAGCACATAAGACGGACACACTGAAATATCCTCCAGTCATTCGTAACATCCATGCTAATAAAGCCCCGCTAGCCCTCAGCAAAGGGAGAAACTCGTCCACTCGGCGAGCCAAGGATGCTGCAACCTCGCTCAGAGAAAAACAGCAGAGTTATCAGAACGACACAGAGGCGTTTACAACCACCGCTGCAGGGCGGGAAATAAAACCAACGTTCACGAAGACGAGCATACGTACCTCATAGGTGGAGGGATATCTGGACGAAGGAGCGGGGTTACACGAGCCGGCGCCGTCCTTTTACCAGATGTATTTCCTTTGTCAGCTGTCTGCTCTCACACGCAGAAGGAAGGGGCCATATTTGACAGCCGGGTCACGTGATGCAGCAGCCGTAAAAATATCTCTTAAAGGCCTGGTTTTCTTTGTTTTTAATGTGTGTGTTTATTTTATTAAATCAATTGTTTGAATATTGTGATTTTAAGAAAGCGCATACTGTGAATTGTATCTATCAAAAATATATAGTTTTTAATAACATTTGTTTTATTCCTGAATTGTACAGGTTTTACAGGTTTCTTGTGCTTTTTATTGTTTTATTTCTGTATTTAAAAAATATGATTACCTATTGTTGTTATTCTTATTATGATTATATTATTATTATTATTATTATTTTATTTTGTATTTACCATGATCTTTCTTGTGCCTTCGAGTATTCATTTCTATATTCAAAATATAATATAACCTTGTTTTTTATTTCTTGGTTTTATCCATAGACTGTATAAGGTTTTATCGCACATTTGAATTAGTTTAAATGCTTACTTTTTGTATTTATTCCCCTTGTCTTTACTTGATGGTACAGCACTTACCTACCTACTTTCCCTGTAGGCCTATATGGTGTTTTTTTGTAAGTTTTTATTTATATTATAATTATTATTATTTGCATTATTTCTAGTTCAGTAAAATACGTGAATAACACATGCACGAAAACATTATTACACTCTTAAGCAAAAAATGAAGCACTCACTGCTGTACTATCGCACCCAGGAATCCCATTGTATTCTTTATTAATTGGATCCATGGATGTATAATAAGAACGATTGGATCCGGTAAAGAGTCATGCACGTCCTGAAAGTGTTCCCATGTTCTAATAAAGGTTTTAGAGGAGCCTCTAAGTATTAACCTACTTTTTTCTTAATTTAGGAGAAACGATGTCTTATCATTTGTGTTAAATGTGTTAATTTAAGAGAATGTAATGATGCGTTTGGAAATCGTCGTACTTCAATATTATTTCTCTCCACAAGATGGCAGTAATGTGTATTCTGGTAACTCCAGAAAATATTATCGAAGAAGGAGTAGATGACGACCGTAATGACGACACAGCACAACAACCAATCACAGGTCAGGAGTGAAGATGGCGGAATCCGAGATGAGCGTCAGGTAGGCAGTTAGCAGCCAACTTTAGCTAACGTCTGCGTTGTTGTTTAAATAGTTTATAAAAACGTACCAGCGAGAAAACAATTCTACAGAATATGTCCGTGTAACAAACCATATTGTTGGTGGAATTTATATGTTTCGGTGTGTTCCTTTTGAGTTGTTAGCGCCATGCTAACTTAGCTTAGCATGTGCTAGCAGTTGAACATTTGAATGGCTTTTCAACGTGTGTCAGCCGCATGACAACAACAGCATGTCTGGGAAGTTCACTCTTAAACCATAAACTCTAATAAATAAAGTTTAATTTGAGCAGCAGACTCAAGTTTCTATGTTACGGTTAAAATGAATAGTTATGACAAAAGGAAAGAGGCTAACAACGTTAGTGTTTGTGCATAGACAGGACAATGACTAATGTCATAGTACAATATTCAATGTATACCTGTGTCAACTGTTAGAGATTTCTACACTATT